AATCCAATATTTTTCAGTTTCAGTGAAATCCGATAAGTAATACAAAATTTATAAAACTGAAACTTTGGCTAATTAGTACAAACAGTGCCAATCATTTTTATTCATCCTATAGACATGAATACACATTCAAATGTGGGCATTCGTTTCATTCTTTAATTTTCATTTTAAATTAATTTCAAATTCATTAGCAAATAATACAATTTGTGAGAGCTTACATTTTTTTAAACAGTGAAATTTTCAACAGAATATGTAGATCGTATGCTGAAAATTAATTAAAATATGTTAAGTAACTCAGCAGTTGTTAAAGAAAACGTCAAGCATACGTAAATTTCCTATACGTACAGTGAGAGTACTGGTAGAGGATGTTGGCTCAATTCCTGGTATTTTAATGCCAGGTCTTCTCTTTGTATGTTAAATGCAAGGTATGGAAAATATTTAAACATGAAAATCGGACGGAGTCCACGGTATCTCCTAGTCGTGCACCTCCGACTAGAGCTTTCTCACTTGTTTTATTTACAGGTGAGTTTTTATAGACATCAATGATAGTGAGAGACTCTTAAGTTTGTCCACTCATTCGCTTTTCTTTTTATATATACGCGCAAATTAAGCAATTTTTCTTAACTGGGGTCATTACGCTGTTTTTCAGTCAATATTATTTTCAGCAGTTCATTGGCTTTGTCTTGCTTTGTCTCTCTCTCTCTCTCTTCCTTACAGTTAAAGTGTCATTAATTAGTCACTCAACTTAACTTAAGAAATCTTGAATACCAAATTAATGGAAGAAAACGAATTTTTCAACTATATTTCATACAAAAGTTGACCTTTTTATGGTCGAAAGCATTTAATCACACTTTAATAGCTACGAGCAGGCCATCAGGTTCCAGATCAAATGGCATCAGCAACTAAAAATCCACATTTATGGACGCCCTGCCTCAAGAAAGTTTTTGGCAATGTCGCACGGCCTAAAGACATAAAACAAAACTTGTCTCGTCCTCACAAAAAGTTGGACGACATAATGGCAAACACCAAAGGGGACCAATCAAAGGGGAAAGGGCAGCAAGGCATGGCTTGAGCTCAGCTGGCATTTTGGGGCGAACGTAACAAAGTAGATGTAGAGAAGTATTCGCAACACAAGACAAAACATAAAATAAAATACTGAAAATTAACGACAAATTGCGCATCATTAAAAACCGAAACGAAGCACAATGACAAAAGGGAGCAGCAGAGGGAATGCCCAACGCAGACTAAAGCCAATAATGAAGACAACGCAAAGCACCAACCGGCACGGAATACGTGGCTGGGGGAGTGTGGAGTGCCGTTCAGGGAGCACCTGAGTACACTCATTCATTTGATTACAAGCCAACGGAACGCGACAATGAAACAACACAAAAATAAAGATGGGTAAGAGAGAAGAAGTAGAAGAGTATCCTTACTCTCAAAAGCATGATTGAGGCAACTCAATTTCTGTTCCTGTAGGCCTTCGAAAATTACAAATATTTTCAACATCAATTCGATACAGTTTACACAAATTGATTTAATTTTGCACAGCTTTTTGCCTGCTTGTTGAAAAATCTACACTGTGAACAAACGAGGTAACTTAGTCTGCTCTTCAAGTTATATATCAAGTTATACATATATGTAGTTATATGGATTATACTGATTCGAATTGTAAGATTATAAATAAATATCTTAATCTGAATTATTAAAATAAAATCTTTCTATAGTAAATAAGAACTCCATTTCGTATATCTTGAACTATATATAGCCTTATATGTTTTATTAAAGTTTACTTGCATGTTATAGGTCGACGAACATATTTAATTTTTTAATGCTGCCAAACAGTATGGTTCGTGCAGTGTATACATTAATGCATATATACATATGTATACATAATTACCACCCTAACACCCACAAAGGAACACACAGACAGATGCAGACACATATACATATATAGTTGACACCAAGTCGCCAGCCAGGACAAAGTCAGCAGCTCCAAATTTCCCAAAAGACAAGCCCCGTACTCGTCTCCCTAAATGACTCACTTTGCGGTAATGGAGCTGCCAAGCTGCGTAGGTGCTGTCGGGTACAGTCGCTCCCACACCATCCCTCCATCCCTCTTTGTTCACTTGGCCCCAAAGACAAAGTGACAAGCCGTCAAGTTGCACGTGAGCTTCAACTTAGGTTCCGTTATTTTTACCTTGCTTTTTTCTTTTCTTTGCTTTCATGTCTTGTTCTTCATAGTTTAATAAAAGCTTTTTCTTTCTGCACATTTTGATATTAGTTGTTGTTGCTGTTGTTGAATGCCTCAATAATATGCATAATTTATTTTAATTGGATTCTAAGTATATAATAATAACCTCAGCATGGGCAGCAACATAATAAAGTAATATATTACTTTTCGACATTAAAATGCAAAATTAATATTGCTGGACTTTAATCATCAAATATTTTTTAATATAAAGAATACAATTTTATAAAAATTTTATAAAATAAAAATACAACAGCAATATAGATGCATATATACTATTATTTATTTATTTATATGCATTTTAAATATTTAATATTTCTCCTGCTACGCCATTAGATTATAGCTTTAAAAGCTTTTTAAATTTCTTCATAAACATATCTTAAATCAACTTCTTTTTTGTTAATTTCTTTACAACTGTTAATTTACATTTTCTGAACATTTTAATCAGCATGTTTTTCACTAGACTCCAATCTTTACATTAACTTTATGGCAGGTCTCCATCCCCCCTCCATTTCCCTTCTCTATTTGCCATGCTCAAGTTTGTATTTTACTTTTTTGTGGGTCTGCGGTTCCGTTTTAATCAAAACAAAATGTTAAAGCGTAGCGAAGCGAGGGCAAAGGAAACAGGATAAAACCCTCTAGTTGAGCGATCATGCAGACAAGTTAATACCCTGTAGTAACTAACCTGACTTGGCCATATTAAATATTCTAAAGGTACAAAGAATCTATAATTACATTATTATGTATATATAATATATATGCATATTTATGTTAATTTAATTAAGTTGCAAAGTGCCTTTTTTTATAACATTATTACGCCCATTTTATGTACCCCGTGTGTGTACAAGAATAGCCAAAATCAAAAACAAACAAACTAAAGAGTGCCAGTAGCAAGCCAACAAACAACAACATTATTGCTAGCCCATGGATCCTTTTATACGCCCAAAACAATCTCATTCCCTTATTGCTAGTTGTCCTAAAAACTGTTTGCTTTGTTGCCTTTCTTATTATTGTTGTTATCCATTATTTAAAGCAGAATGTCACAATAAACGTGAAAAGTGCAAAATGTTGCCCAAAAAACAGCAGCAGCAACAACAACAGAAACGAATAATGTTTTTACAGTCCACCTTCTCTCTCTATCTTTCCCTCTCTCTCTCTCTCTCTCTCTGTATTTCCCCACTTTTCCCTCTCTCTCTCTGTCTCCCTCACTTTTGCATAAATTGCTTCCTATGAGCAGCAAACGCAGTCATCTACTACTCTGCTCTGACGTTGCAGTTGACAGAGCCGCTCCCATTCCATTTCGACTGTCCATTTACTCCACGCTCTCCAACAACAACGGGAATTGTCCGTTGGCAGCTTTTGGCAACTCGCATAGTTGCAAGGCACCATCAACGTCATTGGCGTCACTTGTAGACTTGTTGTTAGTTCCGTTGTAGTTGTTGGCTTTCTCCACCATTTACTAGGCTCCAAACTGCCCACTTGAAGCCTTTTCCTATCGTTGTCACTGAATTGTTTCCCAGAAGCTAAATTTGCTTGAAATGATTTTATGGCCAATCCTGGGTTTACGGCTAATTAGAGAAGTGGGAATTTCAATGCCCACCAAAAGGTTCACTGATGTATTATAAACAAGTAAAATTGCTCTAAGACTAAGAGTTAGGAGACGCCATCCATTATACAAAATAAATCAACATTTTATAAGCAGCAGTTTATAGTTCAACTTGCATCGCGCTTCGAGTGACCCGAAGCAAATTGTTTGAAACACTTAAATACTTATTGGAAATAGCTGTCCGTACGTTAACATCCGCTGCTATATTTTAACACACTTGAAGTAATGCCCTATAGAACTCATAGACCTTTCAGATTCGAGGCACACATGTGCCTCATTTTCTCTTTTAGGCAAATGTCACAAACGGCACTTGGCGCCGTTTGTTAGCTCAGGTCTTCTACTTCATGAAACATAGAGAATCGAGGGAGAGTGATAAGAAGAACCAATGCAAACAACAAGAAAGACTGATTTAGTCGAGACTGACCGACTAGGCAATACCCTGAACCCTGAACATTCATGCACAAATCTCAAATCGTTTTAGCAAATGTAGGGTAAAGTGGGAAGTATCCGCATTCCGAAATATAGAAAAGCTCTGCATTCATTAGTTCTTTATAGTAAACATGCTATGTTTAACAATCGAAACGATGAATGGTTTTATGGTTTATAGTAACTATCACGCATCCTTCTGCCTGTTACATACATTTTCCCTAAACCATTATACCCTGAATTCGCATTATCAATAGGTGCAGAGTATAAAAATAGCCTCAAAAGAACTGTGAATGCACTTGTCGCTGTCTCTCTTGCAGCTTCTCCGCAATCCTTCTCTCTCTCACACGAACTACTTTAATTATAGCCGAGCTACATATTTGGTATGTGCGCCGACTAGGCGGAAGTTTGTTTAGGATACATGAGCATTTAGCCAGGCAGCTACATGCAGCGGTATCTTTGCTTATGCCTACGCTAGCCTCAGCTCCCTCCTTTTCTTGTGCACCTCTTATCGTATTCTTATTTTCTCTTTCTCTCTATCAACAAATTGCATTAGTTGTTGTCACGTCTAGACACGCGCCGGCACATTCTGCAACTCTTCCCCACTGTAAATTATTCAAATGAAGTATTTGCTATGGCATGCTACATACGCGTTGCTGTGGCACTTGCAGCTGCAGCTGCAGTAGATGTCGCGTTAATCGCCTCTCAACTGTGGAAACTTACCTTTCGCTGCTCGTAGTCAATTATTTGTAGTACGACTCGCCATACGATATAATCGATTTTATAATAGATAGTCAACCTTTTTAATTTTTTAATGCGATATAGTTTTATTTTAGTCGCGTATGTATTGATAATCCGTTATGATATGTTTTATAAGCTGTAAAAATAAAAGAGTTCATTAATTTGCTAATCTCTTTGAACGTATGTAAGAATGTAATGTATTATCTTGACCGATGATAATTTATATACATACATACACACATGTATGTATGTATGTATGTATTTATGTATGTATGCATGCATATGTATATATGTATGTATGTATTTATGTATGTATCTATGTATGTATGTATCTATGTATCTATGTATCTATGTATCTATGTATCTATGTATCTATGTATCTATGTATCTATGTATCTATGTATCTATGTATCTATGTATCTATGTATCTATGTATCTATGTATCTATGTATCTATGTATCTATGTATCTATGTATCTATGTATCTATGTATCTATGTATCTATGTATCTATGTATCTATGTATCTATGTATCTATGTATCTATGTATCTATGTATCTATGTATCTATGTATCTATGTATCTATGTATCTATGTATCTATGTATCTATGTATCTATGTATCTATGTATCTATGTATCTATGTATCTATGTATCTATGTATCTATGTATCTATGTATCTATGTATCTATGTATCTATGTATCTATGTATCTATGTATCTATGTATCTATGTATCTATGTATCTATGTATCTATGTATCTATGTATCTATGTATCTATGTATCTATGTATCTATGTATCTATGTATCTATGTATCTATGTATCTATGTATCTATGTATCTATGTATCTATGTATCTATGTATCTATGTATCTATGTATCTATGTATCTATGTATCTATGTATCTATGTATCTATGTATCTATGTATCTATGTATCTATTCTATGTATCTATGTATCTATGTATCTATGTATCTATGTATCTATGTATCTATGTATCTATGTATCTATGTATCTATGTATCTATGTATCTATGTATCTATGTATCTATGTATCTATGTATCTATGTATCTATGTATCTATGTATCTATGTATCTATGTATCAATGTATCTATGTATCTATGTATCTATGTATCTATGTATCTATGTATCTATGTACCTATGTATCTATGTATCTATGTATCTATGTATCTATGTATCTATGTATCTATGTATCTATGTATCTATGTATATGTTTGCTTTTAATGTATGTATATGAGAGTCTATGTATGTTTATGTGTATATGACCAATGCTCGACTTTTCTTTGTAACGAACAGGTTAATTTTAAAATGATCATTTTGTTTACATTGTATTTTATAGTTAAGCTACCCTGAAATACACTAGCAAAAAATAAGTTGGCGTCTCGACCGACGACGCTTTTCATGCCAAATATGCAACAAAATGCGCCACAAAACTTTAGACACGCAATAAAAAGCCGCACAAAAATCAAAAATCCACGGCGAAATGTTGCAGACCAGGTCCACACAGGGATGAACCAGCCAGCCGCCCAGCCACCCACCACCCACCATTCGAGTCCCGAGTTCCTGTGTGCTGAGCTTCTTTGCCTGCCACTGGGGGTGGCTCTGGGTCTGGCTTTGACTCTGGCTTTGACTATGCAGGCGGCAAGTCCCAAGTGCGAGAGCGAGAGAGGGAGAAAGCAGGCGGCCGTGCTTGTGTCTCGTCTGGCGACGCAGACGCTGCAGACAGTTTTCTAATGGGATAAACTAAATACGTTTGTGTGCGTATTTATGTGTGTCTGAATAAGTATTTATATGTGTGTGTTCACTCGAAACATGAAGCTTACACGTCGTTAAATGACATACACACCAATATTATTAAAAAGTGTACACCAATAATCAATTAATGAATAAAAAAACAATACTGCATACTTTTAGAACTTATTCACAGAACAAGAAATAAATGTGGAGAAATTCTCACACAATCACATACAGACGAATGTGACATTTTTGCGGGTAGTCAGAACACAAGTTCGAAACAGCGACGGCGCCAACGTTCAATAGGTGGAGAAAAGGGGAGCGAGCTTGGACGAATTTTAGGCGCTCGCTTTGTTGTGCCGGCGAATATGTAGCGGAAAGCCGAAATGCCAAAACAAAATTGCGTATATTTGGCTCAATCACTTACCGGCAAAATTTTGCCGCATTGCAGGCGGCAAATACAATGATGATTTGAACCGGTATTTGCGATTTTTTGGTAATGTTTTTGTTTTTGTTGTTTGTTATTTAGCTAACTTGACGCTTTTCTCATTTTAATGCATTAGTTATTGTAGCCGCATAGGGCATTCAATAAATAACACCCACACACGCACGGGCAGTTGGTATAAGTTAAACACACACGCACCATACAAAGAACTGTTAAACGTTACGCCGCGTTACGTCCTTGCACACCAACAGAAAGGCAACATTTGAAATGGTTTTAGCATGGTGAGCGTCCAAATTACTCAAAACTGTTTTACAGAATGTTATACTCAAAAGAGCTGTTAAGCTTCATAGATACAATCCTTATACGGCCACACTGCGCACACAGCTGTTGACCCAGTCGTTTTGATCGATTAATTTGCCTCTCAATCGCATATCGCACTCCCGCCACAATGGCGAGTTAACTTGTTAACAACAATTGAAAGATTTAACAAATGAATTTTAACTGTATATCAACTGCAGTAGAGTAAAGGAAATTAATTGAAGCCGGCAATACTGAGTTACCGAAATGGTGGAACTGCAATTGAGAAAACGAAATGCTTGCGTCATAGTGCTGGGCGATATTGGACGCAGTCCACGTATGCAATACCACGCTCAGAGCCTCCTCGAAGATAATTACAATGTGGACATAATTGGCTATATGGAGACGCGCCCTCTTGATGCACTGACTGTGGCACAACCCAAGTGTAAAATACACGAACTTTCCGCGGTGCCCATCACAAATCTAACACCGAAATTGCAACTCCTCTTCAAAGCCATTTGGCAAACGTTAAGTCTGTTAATCGCCCTAATCTCGATAAGACGACCCAATTTCTTGCTTGTACAGAATCCACCCGGCATACCCACCTTGATTGTTTGCTATTTGTACTGCGCCGTGACGCGAACCAAGTTAGCCATCGATTGGCATAATTACACTTACACGATATTGGCGTTGGGCACGGCTGGAGGTGAGCAGAACCGGCTCATCCGTCTCACTAAGCGACTGGAACGTTATTTTGGCAGCAAAGCTCATACGCATTTTTGTGTAACTAATGCCATGAAGGAGGATCTTCAACGCAACTGGAATATTGGGTGAGAAAGAGGCGCACTCGTCTGGAAACTCAGACGCTGTAGACAGTACGCCAACGGGATAGACCAAAGACGTGTGTGTGTGTGTAAATGCATGAATACAAACCATACAATTCTTCAGTTATATAGATCTCTATTTTCACTTAGCTATTTATTAATTATCTTTGTTTGCAGACCCGTACATGTGCTCTATGATCGAGCGCCAGCGCAGTACCATCCAATAGAGCTTCCTCAAAAGCACGAGCTATTCATGAAACTTTCCAAAGATTATGCGCCCTTTATGCCGCAATGTTATGCGGATCTAAAGCAATCGGGCATGCTTGAATCAACTTCACTCACTCAGAAGTTAGCCAATGGAACGGTACTCTACAAGCCACAAAGGCAAGCGATACTCGTCTCGAGCACTAGCTGGACGCCGGATGAGGACTTTGGCATACTCTTGAAAGCCTTGGAGTCCTATGAGAGTGTGGCTACGGCCGAGCCACATGTCTATCCATCCCTGCTGTGCATCATTACAGGCAAGGGTCCACAAAAAGCGCAATACGAGGCTCAAATAGCGAAATTCCAGTGGCAAAAAGTTTCGATTGTAACTCCCTGGTTGGATGCTGACGATTATGCGAGCCTGCTGGCCAGTGCAGACCTAGGTGTGTCTTTGCATTGGAGCACAAGTGGGCTGGATTTGCCCATGAAGGTGGTGGATATGTTTGGCAGTGGTCTGCCCGTCTGTGCATACAATTTTAAGTGGTGAGACAGTAGAAGATTGCAATCCATAAACATTAAATAAACCCCCGTTCTCTGTTCAGCCTCGCTGAGCTTGTGAAGCACGGCGAGAATGGCTTTGTCTTCAACGATCATTCAGAACTAGCCGAGCAACTACGGCTATGGTTCGAGCACTTTCCTAGTAATCCAAGCATCATTGAGACTCGCTCACGCTTTAATCGCAGCCTGCAACAGTTCCAGGATTTGCGCTGGCGGGAAAATTGGCTACAATGCGCGGCACCTATACTGGAAAAATTTCTTTAAGCATTACAAATCGAGAAAGCTTTTAATAAAAATTTTCTGAACACTACAAGGTACTTAAGCTAAACAATTGTTCAAATATTATATAATATATATGTCGGATTACTATTATTTTCCATTTCGTTAGCGCAGCGAGTTTCGGTCGCAGTCGAGTTTTAACAACGACTGACTCGAGAAGCACAATTCTTGTGCGTGTCTTCCACCGAACCACACTCGGCGACAGCGACAGAACGCTGTCGCCCCGCTAAAACGGGACTTTACCAAACTACAAAACTTAGGCAATCAATCACAAAATGTTGCAGTTATGTTTCTACGAAAATGCTCGAAGATGCACCAATATATATGAAGTGTGACCTTCAAACATATTACCAGCACGCGCCTATACATTTCTAATACCTACTCTCCGACATATATAATACAGATAAAATTTATATATATTTATATGTAATATATATATTAATGAATTAAATTCTTGCCGCAATCATTGAAATGACGCTCGGAAAAAGCGCTTTTCATCTATTGACTATTTTCCTAATCTTAAAAACAAAAAGTTTTTGAAATAGATTCATTAAAACAAACCAATTTGAATACCTGTTGACATAATAAGCTCCTAAATATTATATATTTCTCTCTTCAGTTTAATAGTTTCACTTTTTAAATTATTGATCTCTTTTTTGTTAATTAATTCTTTAATATATTAGTAAACCTGTCCGCTTATATTTTGACGATTAACATTCTACACTACTATATATCCTTGTAGTCAAACTAGCGTGGCACGATTAGTTTGCAGCTCGTAATTGGGTTAATTCTTATATATTTTTTGATTTTACCAATGAAGATGCAGACAGGCTTATTATATATTTATAGCTATAACTAAGTTTGTGCCATTTTCAGTTTCATTTAGTATTGCTTTAGTTTACATTGTAATCAGCTTATATTGTCAAGTTTGCGCAAGCAAACAGGACAAGTCTTATAATTGTTGTTCTTATATAACTGCAGGCACACTTTGTGAAGCGCATGCTCACATGGTAAATAATCCATGGTATCCAGTTTCATGGGCTCACGGCAGATCGCACAAGCTTCGCCGGGCAGATCGATACGTATCACGATTCGCTCGCAAAACGGACAATCCCGACGCCACTTGCGATAAGAAGCAAAGCACTGCTTGCACAGCGCATGGGCACAGTTCATTACATGCATCGACTCTTTGGTCATTTCCCTATGACAAAAATAACACATGTCGCCAGGTTGGCTGAGACAAAAAAAGAATATAAAAAAGTATAGCAATACTGTAAAGTACTTACCTGTCGCGAACCCTCGGGTTATTGCTATCTATGTAGCTGCTATCATTACGATCGACGTAATCGTGTCGGGCTGCTCTCGAGTGAGGCCGTTGAGGCGACGTTTGACTGAAATAAACTACAGCGGCTGCAGCTACAATTGCGCAGCCGATGCCAAAAATTAGTTGCATTGGTATCATGATAGCCACATATGCTGTTTCAATCACAATTAAAAATATATGTATATATATATATATATATAGTTTTTTATTTTTCAATTCTATAAATGTCTCGCTCCTCTTATGAAGTACCGCTTAACTTGTCTGAAATTCCCCCGAAATAAATAGTATTTTGTTTGTAATTCACTTTATTCGTTTACAGGGACTGCCATACCGATCGACCAAAACCAGTGCTGCTACCAACATGAACAAAAATATTTTTCCATACTAAGCCAGAGCCACAAGCGTAGATATATATTAAAATATATGTATTGATAGCATAAAGGTTGTACAAAGAAATGTTAAGCATGGCGTTTATACACAACTACAACTGTGCATTTCACTGGAGATAAAATGGTATTTTCGCTTACTCGGCTTTTCGGTCACATCGCGCTTCTATTGTATTCTATAAAAATTGTTTGCCATTCACATCAATCCCTTACATGCACTGCCAAACCATTTCAAGAACATTGCTGTCATACTTTTCAAATGAGATACATTTTAATAAATTTCATGTGACAAGCCAATATTTGCTGAATTATTATCTTGAAGTGTAGTTTAGTGTAAGAACTGAGCATCGAAGTGGTATCAACATTTAAACTGCATTAATATAGAAATTGTGGTAAGCTCAAAATTTGGTATTCTTGTGTAGCCGGCACATCGGCCACACTGCATTTTAATTCTATGGTTTTTCTCTGCTCAAAATTAATTTAAATTGTAATATCAAATGCGCTGCATTCGCAATTAGCTATAATTGGTGTGGATAACTAATAAATAAGCATTTCAAACGCACCAATTAGCATGCAATATTGATTTAATCGCAACCAAAAGAAAACTCGTCTACGCCTCTCTCTCTCGCAAGAGCCAGTTGAACGATTTTTCTGGTGAAATAAACTTATATTACTTTACTGATAAAGCAACGAGTAACAGAAAGCATGGCGGAACGGGAGCGCAGCATACATGAAATGCTTAAAGACACACCATCCATGAACGATAGCTGCGGTGCTGTCCACACGGGCACAGAAGGCGGCAGTCTAGGGATGGGAATGGGAATCGGAATAGGGATGGGAGTAAGCGGCAGCAGCAGCAATCATAGTATTGGAACAGGCAACCCATTGAGCATGTCCACTAGCTTACCATTACGAAATCATTCAGGTGCGTCACCTAACTATGCAACAAACAATGAATGATGGAATTCATTTCTGATCCTCGTTTTCAGCACCCACCACGCCGATGTCCACAGCAAGTCCACATACAAACAATGGTTTTCTAACCTCAGCAGACGGTAGCAGCAGCCTCATAAGAACAAGCGCCTCGAAAATTGATAGCCTCAAGAATTGGAGCATATCAACGTATAAATGCACACGGCAAATAATGCTCGAAAAGCTAGGCAAATCGCAACGCACTGTCGACTCGGAACTAGAGGCACAGATCGAACAGTTGCGTGAAACCCAACGCAAATATTTGTCCATTTTACGATTGACGCATGCGTTCAGCTCACATTTTCAACATGTAGTCGCCTCACAGCAATCGCTAGCTGATGCCTTCGCTGATTTGGCACAGAAGAATCCCGAGCTACAAAAGGAGTTCATTTGCAACTCGGAAACGCAACGAAATTTAACTAAAAATGGTGAACTGCTGTTAAATGCATTAAACTTTTTCATTTCGTCAGTAAATACACTGTGCAACAAGACTATAGACGACACCCTGCTAACGATACGACAATACGAGACAGCTAGGTAAGCCACAAAACACGCTATAACTCATATCAGAATTATCTGAAGCTGACTTTCTTTCAAATGCAGAATTGAATTCGATGCCTATCGCATGGACTTGGAGAACACCAAGCCTGAATTAACACAGGCAGCAACTTCGCTGGAGGAAACTCAGCGCAGCTTTGCACATCATAAGGATCAATACGAAAAACTGCGCGGTGATGTTGCCGTTAAAATGCAATTTCTTGATGAGAATCGCGTAAGTATTGATTACGGTAAATGCTATATATCCTATACATTTTATTCAACCTGCAGATCAAAGTAATGCATAAACAACTCATACTGCTGCACAATGCTATTGCGGCCTACTTTTCGGGCAATGCTATGGCACTGGAGAGCACATTAAAGCAGTTCAACATAAAGGTAAACTTAACTTAGTAATTGTAACTCGACACACCTTTAATTTAAATACTAATTACAGCTTAAATCACCAAATAACATCACAGGCTCATGGCTAGAACAGTAGCCAGTGGAATGCCAGTACGTCGAGCAAAAGTATTAACTCTGTACCACATACAACACACATTTTTACACCTCTGTATATGCCGGTCGAAGTATATCAGTAAGGATTACATGCTCTCGCTCTCTCCCTGTTAAAGCTACATGACTCTTAACAATATCTAAAAGCTAACATCTAAGTCGAATTCCTAATTCATAAGCAGAAAGTGAAACGCGAGACAGTTTATTTTGTAATGATTTACTTTATTTCCATATAACTATATAACCATTTCCACACACAACTCGTACTTAAACTTAGTTCCTTATGTTTTCCTAAATTTTTATTCAAATTGAGCGCTTAGTGCAATATATAATTTATACATTAAGCTTAACGAATAATGATTACTTATATTGATTATAATTTAGCAGTACAGGAAATATTCTTTGCATTTTATCAGGCCATCTGTGCGGGACCTATTTTCTGTTCATTATTTATTTATTTGTATATCTTTTAATGCCATGTATATTTAAACATGAAAAACAATCGTATGTCAACAAAAATTGTAAACAAAATTTGCGGTAATGTATAATTGAAACTAATTGTTTACTAGTCAACATATTATTTACAATAAACGGAAGTATACAAATAAAAACTATCAATTACCGAATTGATTATACAATAAAAATGAGTTAGTTTTTCTCCAGCTTTAAATCGCTTAGCTTTTCATTTAGCGCTACTGTTTCATCCTCCTCCGCTTTGAACATATCCTGTCATATTAAATATAATTTAAAAGTTTAGTAACTTTGTTATTGAAAGATTATTTTAATCTATTTACCGCATCGTATATAATTTTAATAATCAGTGAACAGCTAGGACAAGTAGCTACTTCCTCTCCTTCTATGAGCTCTTCCTACCAAGACACAAACTTTTATAAGTAACTGCCACAAGTTTTGATATGGGTGCATACCTTGGAAATTTGAAATCGATCGCCGCAGGGACAAGGGTAATAATACATTTCCTCCTCCTCGTCGTATTCGAAATCCTCAATCTCGACCTCGTCGTGATAAATGCTCATTGTTTTGAGTAACCTAGATCTAGCATTTTTGGATTATTCACACATTATACAAACGCGATACACGTTGCGGTCGAAGTACTGCCAACCCGTTCCAATTAACAGCTGATCTGCAGATATTGTAACGCTTGTAAACAAATAAACGTTTATCAATATTTCGAAGCTAAAAATATTATAAGAGCAAGAGCAATACAACTTCGTATCGGTATAGAAAATACTCAATTTTGTCTACCATGGTAAATCGTCTTTTTATTCACTCTGGACGTAAAACTTTTTGTTTACTCGTCCGTAGCACTGCCAACCGGGCGCTCAGAACAGCTGATCTGCAAGCATTTCGACTAGATTTGTAAGCAGTTCACAAACGTTTGCAACATTTGTTTTTAAACTATATTTTTAAATTAGAGCCATGTGCAGCAAGAAATATAGTGATTTAAATCTCTACGACCTGCTCGGCGTGTCCATTGAAGCCGAGCAGGCAGAGATTCGGAAAGCGTATCGTAAACGCGCGCTGGACTGTCATCCGGATAAGAATCCAGATAATCCACAAGCAGCCGAACGCTTCCATGAGCTGTCCAAGGCACTAGAGATACTTACCGATGCAACAGCGCGTTCCGCTTACGACAAAGTGCTTAGGGCAAAAAAAGCAGCTGAGCTTCGCACCAAGCAGCTGGATAGCAAACGACAAAAGCTAAAAGAAGAACTGGAGCAAAGGGAACGCGCAGCCCTACACAAACTTCAAGTAGGACAAGCCTACAGCACAGTTCGAAAGACCGATGAAGAAGTGTTGCAGGAACAAATAGATCGTTTGCGACGCGAAGGTTCCAAATTACTAGAAGAGGAACAAAAGGCAATGCGAGAGCAACTGAAACGCAACTACATAGAGCAAAAGCAACAAAGTCAGAAAACGCCCGCCTTTGACTCCGCTCAACATCGCATCAAGATTAAATGGAAGTCTGGCAAAGCCGATGATAGCAACGGCGGCTACACACAAGAACAGCTTATGCAGTACCTTAAGAAATATGGCGAGGTAGTTGCGCTGGTCATGAACACAAATATACGCGGTCGTGCCATGGTGGAGCTGAAGACACGAGAAGCTTGCGACATGGTCCTGGCCTATGAGAAAGGTAATCCTGCGAACCCATTACACTTTCAGTGGGTAAATCCGCCAGCACAAGAAAAAGTCGTAAGCTCCATGAGCCAGAGCAATACAACAGTAAGGGATTACGAGGATTTGGTTATGCGCAAGCTTCGACAGGCAGAGGAGCGCAAACGGTTAATTGAACAAATGATGAAAGAGGAAAGCGACACGTAACCGCTGGAAAATTTGAAGATTTTGTTTAGCTTTAGTATTTAATAATAAACAAGTTGGCATCTCAGTCAAAAGCTCTTGATAGTGACACACAAATTTAAAAAAAAAGAAGTTTCCATTAATCATTTTTTTATGAGCAACGGATTGATAGATTTACTTATACTTCAATTTTATTAACAAAATATTTTACGAGTTCAAACTAGTTTTAAAATCAATTTTAGTAATCATAGCTACCAAAAAAATACAACTTGGCAGCACTGACAACAGCTGTTAACAAAAGCCGTGGTACGGATATACTGGGAATGCAAATAAATGAAAAAGAAGAAGCAGTGTTGACGCATTCAAAACAGACAGACTATTGAATACCTATCTCTTGGATAGATTTGCATTAAATTTTACTGAAATGTACAATTCACTATAATTGCTATTATTATAAACACAAAAATAGTCATAATTATTGCTGATATAAAAACTACAATAAAAAAATAAAATATAAATTTTTATGTAATGATTACAAAATACTACAACAAAATAAGTATTTTCATATATCCCTTTTTATTAAATTTCCATTATAGTATATGCATATAAATAGCCATCCCAGTTACACATGTTTTATATTTTAAATATGGGGACTATAAATGATTTTATCTAAGAAATTAAATTATACAAACACTTATCAACCAACCAATCATAGCAAAACGCAACACCGTCCTATTAAAGTGCAGGGTATCGCGCAGTGCGCCGTCGATTTCATGTTTGCCACGAGAGATATAATTAACTACAGAATTTAGTTGTGAAAATCTCAATTGATTGCAATTTGAGCTAATGCAACATGGATAAGCGACAGCGTGAGCTGGAGGCTGTGGTGAACACGCAGAAGGAACAATTGTCACGATATGAGAAGCGCCTTAAAGGTAAATCGTTGTGCAATAAGCCAAATGTAAAGTACAAGTTTGTAACTAATTAATTAAAATTGCAGACGTGGTCACAGCATACAAAGGCTTGCTCAAAGAGAAGGAAGCACTGGAGACAAGTTTAGCGGCGCATGCCGAAGTTACGTCTGGTAAGGATTCAAATGCTGTCGATTCTCGAACAACCACAACTACTGGCCAAGATAGCGGCGACGCAGCTGATGGATCCACGTCCACATGCAGCGAGGTAACCGCTGGCAGTGAGGAAAGAGGTCAGCTTCAGACGCAAATCATAACGCTTATGAACTCTCTGGCTACACTCTCCGCTGAAAAGTCGCGGATGGAGGCATCTTTTCAAGCTGATAAGAAGCAGCTGCGCGCACAGATTGCACAGAAGGAACAGACTATACAGGAGCTGCACGCCAAGGCCAAGGAACAGGCTCAGCGTGCCAAAAACGACGTGGACGAGGTCAAAGCAAAGTGGATTATTGAGCGACAGGATCGCGAAAAGGAAACCAACAATCAGATGATTATGCTCCGTGAGCTGCAGAAGCTGTATGCAGATGAACGTCACCTTAAAGAGAACATTGAGATGCAGTTGAACAATTTTAAGACGCAGTTTGCCAGTAATGAGGCTGAGAACAGTCGACTGCGTGAGCTGCAACTTCAGCTAAAGGAGGCGCGTGCACAGCTAAAGCAATTGCAGACCAAAGCAGAACAAACAACTGCTGCAGCGTCTGCGACTGACAGTAGTATGTTGCTGCAGCAGGTGCGTCAGGAGATGCAGCAATTAAAGGAGCAGCACTCTGTAGCGATCAAGCAGGAGCAGCGACGTGTTCTGCGCGCCGAAGAGCAGAGCCGACGGCAGGCGGCTCTGCACGAGGATAGGGTGGCCAATTTGGAATCTCGCCTGGCAGAGCTAAGCAACTCGGTGGGTACCTACGATCGCTTGCGTCAACAAGATCAGGATAGTATCCATGCGCTTAAGCAGCAGCTGCACGAGCTGGAACAGCTGCAAACCCGTACAGTACCCACCGTCCAGCCACTCAAAGATAGCGACCAGGATGTGGCTGTTCTAGTGGATGAAATTGTGCGCCTCAAAAAGTTGCTGACTAATGCCAATGCGCGCTCTTCTAATCCCATGGACCTCAGCAAGGTACTGGGCAGCAGCCATGCAGCTGCCAACATCGATTCCCATGCCCAATGTGAGCTACAGCTGCAAAACTTACAGAAATTACTGGAGAATGGTAAGCAGCAGGAGGTTCATCTACAGCAGAAAATTCAGTTGCAGCAGACTCACATCCAAACGCTGCAGGACAAGGTACAGGTACTTAATCGCAACATAGACGAAACCGAGCAAGAACTGAAACAGCAGGGCGACAAGATGCGTATAGCGCTCAAGAATGAGCGTGTAAAGTGGCAAGAGGCAAAGGCGGAGTTGGAAAATGAGACGCGTTGCAAACTTAACGAGCTGGAGCAACTGCTGCAAAAGCAGCGCCAGCGTTCACTTCAATTGCTCGACGAGAAGGAGCAGGAGATTAAGACGCTGCAAACCTCATTCGAAGTCTTCCACAAGCCAAACGCGTCACCTCTGGAGAGCAGTGAAACCTTTGCCTACTCCTCGGACGCAGACAGCGTAGAGGTTGAGGGCGAACGTGAGACGAAGATGAAGGTTAAGCCCAAGAAACTATCATTGGGCGAGAACTGTCATATGCTGCACTATGCCAACGAGCTGGCACGCAAGGACATTGAGATTACAACGCTACGCAAATCCAAATACGTAGCAGAGTCTACGCTTAGGAAAGCCATACAGGATAAGGTCACGGCGCAGCAGGAGATGCACGAGAAGATTGAACTGCTCGAGGAGCAGGTGGACAGGTGAGTCAACACTTCAGTTACATCCATATTGACTTAATTTCCTTGCCCAACTTTAGATTGGAGCGTTGCAAGACGCGTGAAGGCGCTAATTTGGAGTATCTGAAGAACGTTGTTATTAGCTTCATTGTCACCCGGGATGCGGAAGATAAGCGTCACATGCTGAACGCCATTAGTGCTGTCCTTCAATTCACCAGCAACGAGATGCAGACAATTAATGCAGCATTCCAAAAGAAGTAGAATTCATACGAAACATTATTAAAATAGATCATGTATAGAATATAATATTTATATATTAAATACTAAAGATGTGTGTTATCCAAAGCCAGCCACGGGATATTTGTTCAGGTGGGCAGCCAGTACGCCGGGGAACATGGCAAGAAATTTAAATCGGCTGCCCATTTGCTTTGCATCGGTCAACATCTCATAGCCGGAGCGTATGATACTCTGGTTCTCGGGCAAAGCATGCATCAGCAGCTGCTCCAGACGCACTTCGCCCTGCATGCTTCTCATAAAGTCACCCTGCTGTACTGGCCCACAGCAGTGAATGTGGGCACGCGTCTCCGCTACGTGCTTTAAATGCCTAAAGTCGACATCGGCTGTGAGATCTGCCGTTCCTGGTGCAAGCAGCGGCTCATGCAAGGCATGCTGCTTGAATCCGCGAAATGTGTCTGTTTTGTCGCCAAAGTGACCGTAGTCCATGATTAAAGCAATACCACCATGCTGCTCCAGCCGCTCTGCCAGGAGTCCCACATGTCGTTCCGCCTCCAGCGAGTATTCTAGACTGCTGCGCTGTTCCTGCGGCAACGGCTTAAACAAATTTGACACAGGTGTTTGAGCCTTGGACATAACATATCGGAAATCAGCCGTCGTTGAGTTTATGTCCACATCGATGAGCACTTCCTGCCACTTGCCGTTGATCAACTGAAGCTTGTGCACAGGTAACGCATCAAAGAACTCGTGCGCTAATACCAGAGAAAACCCAACTGGCACATCCTCCAACCGGCGATGCCAAAACACCTGCGTGCCCGTAGCCGTGGTGCCAGTTTGGTAGTGCTGTAACTGCTCCTCCTCTGGTAAGATCTCGTACTTGTAGCAGAAACGCTGCGCCTGCGCTTGGCTCAGATACGGACTGATCTCGACCATATGCATGCTGAACTGTGCGCCACTCTTGAATTTGGATATCACTTTAAGGACATCACGCGCCAGTGTGCCGCGTCCTGGTCCTAATTCAATCAACTGAAATGGCGACGGACTACCTAGCTTCTGCCATTCATTCATCAACCAGACGCCAACGAGCTACATTGAGTTGAATTATTATAAATCTGTTATACAGTTATTTATTACACCTAACATCAGTTAGGTGCGCTCAGAACTCACCTCCCCAAAAATCTGTGATATTTCTGGAGATGTTATAAAGTCACCCGCTCGACCAAAAACATCCCGATTCATGTAGTAACCGCCATGTGGATTCGTCAGCACCTCCCGCATGTACTCAGCAACGGTGATGGGACCCGTGGCTTGAATCTTGGCAGCTAGCTGCTTAGTTAGGTTACCATTACTTTTTGCATGTGTATCAGATGTCTGCTTTGGCTTTTGGTTTTGCTCCAACTCCACATTGCTAGACACCGCAGGCTGGCCAGGACGGCGAACAGATTTATAGCTGTACCAGCGTCTGCTGCCGATTCGCAAAACCTCTCGTAACATCTTTGCTTACGTTGGAGCTGCCAACTTATTTCAAATATTAATCAGCTGCTTGTATGAAAAGTCGTTAACTCCGAAAAAACTGATAGAATGCGCCGTTTTCAGATTCATATTTTAAATGAATGTTTTATGTTACTTAAAGCATCTTGAAAATACTGTCTATTAGCATCTAACACCTCCCAATGCTTCTATTTTATTTAAATGTCACTTAGATTGGTTTAACCAAATTAACAAATATTCGGGGCAGTTGATTGGAACGAGAAATCTTTAACTTTTTATTTTATTATACATGTCAAGGGTTTGTATTACATCTTAAAACGGTCAATTATCAAATATTCATTCACACTTTTCCCCTTTCCTTAAAACACCTTGATGTCAGGGACAACCTTCTCGTTGTCGTAGATTTCCTTGGCATAACAGAGATTGGGATAGTCGAAGGCAGCACCGTATCGGTTCTTGCAGCCGGAGGTGGCTTTGTCGCCGGGTGTGTAGACGGGCTGGCCAATCACGTTGGTAGTGGCAAAGTTGCAGGTAAGTACAAAGTGGTTGTAGTAGTCACGGGTGAAGCGTACAGCGGCACAGCCCAAATGGGTATTCTTCTCCGACACGGCAATAGTGAACTTGGCCACGTTCTTGTTGGGCAACTCTTCTGGGAAGCTGGCCAAAATCTCAGGTGAAGCATTGGCACGCTGGGCAAACCAGTTCTCGATCTGCTCCTTAATGATTTCCGCATCGGTATACTCAGACTCGGCACCGCTGTAGCTGAAAATAGCATTGTTCTGGCCAGCGTAAGCGAAGCGTTCTGTACTGCGACACTTGTCAGGAAGGGACTGACAAGTCTTAACATTGAAAAGAGCCAAATGGGTCAGTTCCTCACACCAGGTCATCTTGGCCATGCGCGTTGCCTTGGGTAAGCCTTCAATAGCGCCTCCAGCAACAGTGTTCCGTAGCTCATTGAACAGGGTCAGAATCAGCTTCTCGTGGGGTTGGATGTTTACCTCTCTCACATCCTTGGGGCAGTTCTCACTAAAGTTCTGCAGGATGTTTGCGTTTATAATGGTTAGTTGTTGGATAGGATTAGTCACTTACTCCTTTGTTGTTGCAGGCAATGTGCTTGTCCAGACAGGTGGGCAAGGCACAGTAGTCAATGGAGGCGGCGAGGCCAACTAGGACAGTCAACAAAAGGAATGCTTTCATTGTGATCAACTGTTCACACTTAACTGATGCCTAATCAGCGAAGCAGTGGCGTATTTATAGCCCCGTGAACAAATGTTACCACGGCTTGGAACACATATTCCAAGAATCACAGTACATCCATGAACATTTGTTTGAAACTTCTGGTTTGTATTATAACAAAGTTTAGTTGAAACTCTGTTTATCCAAATCCATTTGCACATCTGTGTTTTTATCCATTATGGTACTGACTCACATTTTTGAATTCGTAACACCCGTGGCATGATTCTTGGCAGCTAGCTGTTAGCTAGTTAAGTTACTATTGCATGTGTAACAGATGTCTGCTTTGGCTTTTGATTTTGCTCCAACTCCACATCGCTAGACGCAGCAGGCTGGCTAGGACGGCGAACAGATTTATAGCTGTACTAGCGTCTGCTGCCGATTCGCAAAACCTCTCGTAACATCTTTGCTTACGTTGGAGCTGCCAACTTATTTCAAATATTAATCAGCTGCTTGTATGAAAAGTCGTTAGGTCCGAAAAAGCAAATGCGCTATCTTCAAATTCGTCTATTACTTAAATGCGTTTTATATGTCGCTTAATACGTCTTGCAAATAATGTCTATTAGCAACTAATTATACGCCTCCTCATGGATTCCATATTTTCTAATTGGCTCTTAGATTGGCTTAAATAATTTAACAAAAGTTCGAGACAGTTGATTGGAATGCGAAATCATTAAAAGTTTTATTTTATTATGCAAGTCAAGTGTTTGTATTACATCTTAAAATGGTCAGTCAGCAAATAATCATTTTCACTTTTCCCCCTTTCCTTAAAACACCTTGATATCGGGGACAACCTTCTCATTGTCGTAGATTTCCTTGGCATAACAGAGATTGGGATAGTCGAAGGCAGCACCGTATCGGTTCTTGCAGCCGGAGGTGGCTTTGTCGCCGGGTGTGTAGACGGGCTGGCCAATCACGTTGGTAGTGGCAAAGTTGCAGGTAAGTACAAAGTGGTTGTAGTAGTCACGGGTGAAGCGTACAGCGGCACAGCCCAAATGGGTATTTTTCTCCGACACGGCAATAGTGAACTTGGCCACGTTCTTGTTGGGCAACTCTTCTGGGAAGCTGGCCAAAATCTCAGGTGAAGCATTGGCACGCTGAGCAAACCAGTTCTCAATCTGCTCCTTAATGATTTCCGCATCGGTATACTCAGACTCGGCACCGCTGTAGCTGAAAATAGCATTGTTCTGGCCAGCGTAAGCGAAGCGTTCTGTACTGCGACACTTGTCAGGAAGGGACTGACAAGTCTTAACATTGAAAAGAGCCAAATGGGTCAGTTCCTCACACCAGGTCATCTTGGCCATGCGCGTTGCCTTGGGTAAGCCTTCAATAGCGCCTCCAGCAACAGTGTTCCGTAGCTCATTGAACAGGGTCAGAATCAGCTTCTCGTGGGGTTGGATGTTTACCTCTCTCACATCCTTGGGGCAGTTCTCACTAAAGTTCTGCAGGATGTTTGCGTTTATAATGGTTAGTTGTTGGATAGGATTAGTCACTTACTCCTTTGTTGTTGCAGGCAATGTGCTTGTCCAGACAGGTGGGCAAGGCACAGTAGTCAATGGAGGCGGCGAGGCCAACTAGGACAGTCAACAAAAGGAATGCTTTCATTGTGATCAACTGTTCACACTTAACTGATGCCTAATCAGCGAAGCAGTGGCGTATTTATAGCCCCGTGAACAAATGTTACCACGGCTTGGAACACATATTCCAAGAATCACAGTACATCCATGAACATTTGTTTGAAACTTCTGGTTTGTATTATAACAAAGTTTAGTTGAAACTCTGTTTATCCAAATCCATTTGCACATCTGTGTTTTTATCCATTATGGTACTGACTCACATTTTTGAATTCGTAACACCCGTGGCATGATTCTTGGCAGCTAGCTGTTAGCTAGTTAAGTTACTATTGCATGTGTAACAGATGTCTGCTTTGGCTTTTGATTTTGCTCCAACTCCACATCGCTAGACGCAGCAGGCTGGCTAGGACGGCGAACAGATTTATAGCTGTACTAGCGTCTGCTGCCGATTCGCAAAACCTCTCGTAACATCTTTGCTTACGTTGGAGCTGCCAACTTATTTCAAATATTAATCAGCTGCTTGTATGAAAAGTCGTTAGGTCCGAAAAAGCAAATGCGCTATCTTCAAATTCGTCTATTACTTAAATGCGTTTTATATGTCGCTTAATACGTCTTGCAAATAATGTCTATTAGCAACTAATTATACGCCTCCTCATGGATTCCATATTTTCTAATTGGCTCTTAGATTGGCTTAAATAATTTAACAAAAGTTCGAGATAGTTGATTGGAATGCGAAATCATTAAAAGTTTTATTTTATTATGCAAGTCAAGTGATTGTATTACATCTTAAAATGGTCAGTCAGCAAATAATCATTTTCACTTTTCCCCTTTCCTTAAAACACCTTGATATCGGGGACAACCTTCTCATTGTCGTAGATTTCCTTGGCATAACAGAGATTGGGATAGTCGAAGGCAGCACCGTATCGGTTCTTGCAGCCGGAGGTGGCTTTGTCGCCGGGTGTGTAGACGGGCTGGCCAATCACGTTGGTAGTGGCAAAGTTGCAGGTAAGTACAAAGTGGTTGTAGTAGTCACGGGTGAAGCGTACAGCGGCACAGCCCAAATGGGTATTCTTCTCCGACACGGCAATAGTGAACTTGGCCACGTTCTTGTTGGGCAACTCTTCTGGGAAGCTGGCCAAAATCTCAGGTGAAGCATTGGCACGCTGGGCAAACCAGTTCTCGATCTGCTCCTTAATGATTTCCGCATCGGTATACTCAGACTCGGCACCGCTGTAGCTGAAAATAGCATTGTTCTGGCCAGCGTAAGCGAAGCGTTCTGTACTGCGACACTTGTCAGGAAGGGACTGACAAGTCTTAACATTGAAAAGAGCCAAATGGGTCAGTTCCTCACACCAGGTCATCTTGGCCATGCGCGTTGCCTTGGGTAAGCCTTCAATAGCGCCTCCAGCAACAGTGTTCCGTAGCTCATTGAACAGGGTCAGAATCAGCTTCTCGTGGGGTTGGATGTTTACCTCTCTCACATCCTTGGGGCAGTTCTCACTAAAGTTCTGCAGGATGTTTGCGTTTTTAATGGTTTCTTTGCTGGATATGATTAGTCACTTACTCCTTTGTTGTTGCAGGCAATGTGCTTGTCCAGACAGGTGGGCAAGGCACAGTAGTCAACGGAGGCGACAAGGCCTACCAAGGCTGTGATCAGCAGTAGGAAACTGCAGACTTTAGAGAACATCTTGTATTTGTTGGCTGTCTGCTTGCAACTGAAGTATGAATACAAAAGTAGCCCAATTTATACCCCTTTGAGCTTCATTAGCTGCCGCAGGTGTTGCCAATTCAAAGGAGTGAGTCAATACGCTAATGGATTAGCACACAGATGTGCAAATGGATTTGGATAAACAGAGTTTCAACTAAACTTTGTTATAATACAAACCAGAAGTTTCAAACAAATGTTCATGGATGTACTGTGATTCTTGGAATATGTGTTCCAAGCCGTGGTAACATTTGTTCACGGGGCTATAAATACGCCACTGCTTCGCTGATTAGGCATCAGTTAAGTGTGAACAGTTGATCACAATGAAAGCATTCCTTTTGTTGACTGTCCTAGTTGGCCTCGCCGCCTCCATTGACTACTGTGCCTTGCCCACCTGTCTGGACAAGCACATTGCCTGCAACAACAAAGGAGTAAGTGACTAATCCTATCCAACAACTAACCATTATAAACGCAAACATCCTGCAGAACTTTAGTGAGAACTGCCCCAAGGATGTGAGAGAGGTAAACATCCAACCCCACGAGAAGCTGATTCTGACCCTGTTCAATGAGCTACGGAACACTGTTGCTGGAGGCGCTATTGAAGGCTTACCCAAGGCAACGCGCATGGCCAAGATGACCTGGTGTGAGGAACTGACCCATTTGGCTCTTTTCAATGTTAAGACTTGTCAGTCCCTTCCTGACAAGTGTCGCAGTACAGAACGCTTCGCTTACGCTGGCCAGAACAATGCTATTTTCAGCTACAGCGGTGCCGAGTCTGAGTATACCGATGCGGAAATCATTAAGGAGCAGATCGAGAACTGGTTTGCCCAGCGTGCCAATGCTTCACCTGAGATTTTGGCCAGCTTCCCAGAAGAGTTGCCCAACAAGAACGTGGCCAAGTTCACTATTGCCGTGTCGGAGAAGAATACCCATTTGGGCTGTGCCGCTGTACGCTTCACCCGTGACTACTACAACCACTTTGTACTTACCTGCAACTTTGCCACTACCAACGTGATTGGCCAGCCCGTCTACACACCCGGCGACAAAGCCACCTCCGGCTGCAAGAACCGATACGGTGCTGCCTTCGACTATCCCAATCTCTGTTATGCCAAGGAAATCTACGACAATGAGAAGGTTGTCCCCGATATCAAGGTGTTCTAAGGATAAATAACATTATTTACATAATTGGATTATATCGACAGTTGCATATTTTATAGTTAATCAATAAATAGGTGCACAAAAGTGAAAAGTACGATGAATATTAATTGAAGATTGCTAATAATTATATACACTCACCAATTAACATTTATCTGAGCTATTTTCTATTAACTACCAGAATACTTCCCACTCAATTTTTTAGTTCAGTGAAGAATGTAACAACTTATGTATGAATAAGTTTTACTCAATATTTATCAGATTAGACCTCAGAAAAATGGATGGAAGTAATATCAGGACTAGCTTCTATTACCAGACAAGAATCAAACAAGTTATATTTTTCAGTTAGCTTATTCAAAGCCACATTTTGTTTATTGAACCAACTTTACCGCAACAAAGGCGGTAGAAGCCAAGATAAAACATCAAGCAATCGGATTTTGTATTGATAGAACGATACAAAAGACGGGCCACCGTTTAGGCGGTGGTGGCAGCAGCAGCAGCGGTGGTAGCAGCTGCCTCTTCCTTGAGGCGATCCTTCTTGAGGGGACCCATGAAGGCCAACTTGTCGGCTGGTGTCTGGAAACGACCATGACCCATCTTGGACGAGGTGTCAATGAACTTCAGCTTAATCTGTTCCAGCGCCGAACGTTTGGTGTGGCGCAACAAAGACTTGCGCAGAGTGATGACGCGCTTCTTGGAACCGATGCAGCAGCCCTTAATCATGACAAAGTCATTGTTGACTTCACCATAGTGGGGGAAACCACCCATGGGGGTAATGCTTTTGTCGGTTAAATCGTACTCCGTGGAAGCATTGTTCTTGATAACCTACAATTACAAGATGTACATTAGACAAATATACTTTTAAAGCACAGTAATTAGTATTGAAAATGTTATCAGTCCTATCATTATAGATATCATGGCTTATCAAGCTTTTTGTTTTTCGATGTCGTTATTTAATGGTTTTTATCATCATTGAAAGGAATATTTTTAATTTAAAATGTGAATTTCTTACCTTGCCGTCTTGAGTATGAATGCCAGCACCGATGCGGTAGATCTTCTTGTTAATCTCGGTACGATGATGATAGCCCTTCTGGCCAGCACGTGCCACAGTTGTGGACACACGAGACGGATGCCAGGCACCGATACAGGCAACCTTGCGTAGACCCTTGTGCGTCTTGCGGGGTAGTTTTTTGGTGTGCCAACGCGAGGTGACACCCTTGAAACCCTTACCCTTGGTCACGCCCACACAATCAACCATCTCATCCTGGCCAAACACATTGCTGACCTGGATGGGTTTCTCAAGATGTTCACGCACCCATTTGACCTTATCCTCGATGGAGCCACCATTCAGTTGGATCTCCATGATGTGTGCCTTCTTTTGGCGTTGCTTAATCAGACGAATCTGTATAAAAAAATAAGTACAATTGTTAAAATAAAATTGTAATATATGCATGGACTGTGCGTGATATGGTTTAACCGTGCGTTCATCGCCTGAACGGCTGCGCACCGTTACTGGAATATATCAAGCATCGCCACCCGAAGGGCAATTTGATCTACGACGTTGTATCCATAAACTGTGTATTAATAAGGCACAGCGCGAATACTTTTTAGGCCAGGCGCACCGACCGGCTGTGAAGCACAGTCGGCACAACAAGACCAAGGACGTCGTGCATTTAAAGTTTAGATTGTTACTATATTTACCTGCGAGTGGGCAATAACACGGATGACCTTGCAGTAACGCAGCATCTTACGGAAATCGTTTTCGATGCTCTTCTTGCCCAAATCATCGGTCCACTTCTTGCTAGCCTTGGTGAAAGCCTTCTTTTTCTCGCTCTTGTACCTGATTGGAACGAAGTTTGGAGTTGCGAATTAATACAGTGCCGTGTCGAGTCAATCAGTCGAACGCTGTATCAAGTCTGTGAGGGGCGAGAGACAAAACGGGAAGCACACCTCATCGCTTATTAAAAAATAGCGAGCGGAGATGACAATCTTCCATGACGTGTTCACTCATCAATTGGACACAATATCCAAATGCAGCTCACACGACTTGTATAGATTTAAAAAGCTCTCTCAGCGAACTGATCCAAGAACTTTATGATTTTCATTCAAGTTAGTAAGAGTCAAACTAAGAAATATGCATCGCACACGCAGCTCCAAGTAAAATTACTTTGCAACTGTGTTCAGAAGGAAGGCAGCAGTATGGTAATAAAGTTTTCGACAAAGTCATTCAGATACCATATTCTCATCATACAATAGCAAAGAACCTCCAAATTGTAACCACGTGTGCAGAGATAAAAAAAATGGCGTCTGGCATTTATATACATACCAGTTCTTGTAGAAGCGACGACGACACTCCTCAGACAAATGCTGAGCCCATACATTGACCAAAGCGCGCAAGCCAAATGGAGTCTCAATGTATCCAACAGCACCTACAGCAATCATTGGTGGAGTCTCCAAAATGGTGACAGCCTCAACGACCTCCTTCTTGTTGATCTCTATAATACAAGATAACGAAAAACCGAGTTTAAGCACGTAGATGTCAATCAAATATTAATATTTATTATATTTGAATCAGTCCGCCCTAGTTAATTGATAATCACGGTTGATCATATGTGTTCTAACCATAAAATTTTAACTGTTCCTCATCATGGAAAATTTACTACACAAAATAAATATTCTTTTAACTTACTTGATCCAGGACGATCGGCCTCGCGCACAATATGCGTCATACCGGCTTTGTAGCCGATGAAGCAAGTTAGATGCACTGGCTTGGTGGCATCATCCTTGGGGAAAGCCTTAACCTTGCCACGATGACGGCATGAGCGCTTCTTGGGGTAGAAGGCCATCGAGCCATGGCGAGGAGCAGAAAATTTTCGATGAGACTGTAAATAAGATAAGCAATAGCATTTTTCTTAATGATTGCATATGTACTTCCATTTCTCTTTATATTTTCTTTGAGGTTAGGTATGCTCACGCATGTTTTAAATACACGTGTCCAATATTTAAAGACAAAATATTTTTTGCAAACAAATTGATTTTCACTCGGCTTACATTATATTTCAATACTTTTTCATAACTAAATTACAAAACTAATCTTTTTTAGTGTATATATTTGTGTTAGTTTTCACAGTTCTGCAGCTGCACTTACCATGACGTCCGTTCAATTCAGACGCTGAAATAGAAAGAAAGGAAATGAATATTCGAAACGCGAAGTCGGCTACGCTTGCTATAATCAGTGTTGGCAACCATACAAAAAAAAACTAGTGTGGTTGGCTCTGATTTCAAAGTTGTGTTTAGCTGCTCCTGCCAACTCGCGGCAAATTAAAGTGAAATTAACCAACACTTACGTAAAATAATTGGCGCCGGTAATTTGTTGCATTATTTAATAATTTGTAATAAAAGTTAATAAAAATGAGAACAATAACGGAACCTGACCACAGTATAATGTTGAGTGAGCCCATCAGTTGCTTTGAAATATGTGAAAACGATTTTGCGTATAACTTAATCTGCGTAGCCCAACAAAAACATCTGTCCTTGATATTAATTGGTCTGCCGGCAAGTAAAAAAGCTAAAATAAGAGAGTATTTAAATAAAGTTATATTTTTATTGTTAGGAGGAGAGCGGCGCGTTTGTATGGAATCATGTACAAGATATGGAGATACCCGATGAGGATGCGCGCTGTCACACGATTGCCTTCTCCCCGGATACCTCGCTTAACTGCACTCCAAATAAAGTTTCCGTTTGCGCCTCTATTGGAAAATGTAATTTGACACTTTTTCACACAAATCTAAATGACGTGACCAACGTACAATGCCTTCGTGGACACAGCAGCTATATCAATGGCATTGCTTGGGTTTGCGATGGCGAGTTACTTGCTTCGGTCAGCGATGATTTTACATGCAAGTTTTGGAATATCGGGGCGAATTTCGAGAACGTAATCACATTTTGTCTCTCTTCGGCGGGCATGTCTATTAAAAGCCATCCAGAGGATCCAAACAAGGTCCTCGTAGCCGAGAAACGTGGTAAGGCATACCTATTAGTTTGAACTACAACTACTGTTAAAACTTTTGATTTTAGGCATTGTGCATTTGTATAATGTGCGCAGCAAGCAAACAGTCGTTTCCGTCGAATCACCCAAATTTCCACTCATGTCCGCCGATTGGGCAAATAACAACCGGCTTTTTGTCACAGCCTTGGCTGGTGGCGATATTGTCACCTGGGATTTGAGCCGTCCGTTTGTACCCGCTGACATAAAGCAGGTCCACGAAGATGGCGGCCGTATTGTACGCTTCGCTCCAGGCAGCACAGAGATTGCAATGGCCACCATTGGACGACCGGATCTTACGTTGAAAGTGTTTGTGGCTAAGTCCACGGTACCGCTTATTGAATCGCCTTTAAAAACATACGGTGGTTTGGCATGGCATCAGCGCTTACCTTACATCAGCGCTGCGTCTGATAGGAGATTATGTTTTTGGAAGGTACAAATAAAATAATTACAAAATGTTCATGTTCAAATAGTGACATTTTTTATTTGCATATCTCTTTTATTATGGTCACACTGACATCAATGTACTTATTTTGTTGCGTTAGCGTTATCCATAGATTTGCTCTGCATCTGAAGAAATTGTACATTTTTTTAAAACTTAGAATCACGTAATAAAATGCTGTTAATAATATATTATTTTTGAATAAAAATAAACTGCATTTCTTTATCAAATTTAGCCATCTCGTATTTTTTGTTTCTTTTGGTATTTGAACTGTTTGGTCTAATGGTCACACTGGCTTTAAAGTATTTACTTTGTGGGCGACCAAATAAACACAAATCACGAAAATTGCAACCCGGCTATAAAACTGAAAGCTTAAGATGTCCACTGCTGAAACACAGGTATCCAGTTTACCCATGCCACCGGAGCGTTACATCAGCAACTACACAGAGGAAAACATTAGGAGAAATCGAGCACCGCGTCCACCTCCACCGCCGTCTCAGCATGAAGTTTACAGCATGTTTGGTATACAGTACAACAACGACGAGATGATACGCTCTCTAGAGTCACAGAATATCAAGCGTCTGATACCCATACACTTTGATCGTCGCAAGGAGCTCAAGAAACTGAATCACTCGCTGCTCGTTAACTTTTTGGATCTAATTGACTTTTTGATACTAAATCCCGATAGTCCGAGGCGCACAGAAAAAGTAAGTGAATGAAAAATATATATTGCAAATAAAACATTAAATATAAACAATTTTTTATTACTACAGATTGATGACCTCAGTCTGCTCTTTGTCAATATGCATCATCTTCTGAATGAGTTTCGACCGCATCAAGCCCGCGAAACTCTGCGCGTAATGATGGAAATGCAAAAGAGGCAGCGCGTTGAAACGGCTACACGTTTTCAAAAACACTTGGAGCGTGTTCGTGAAATTGTTAATAGTGCCTTTGCAGCATTGCCAACACTCTATGATGATGATGAGCATGGTGGTGCGAAGATTAAAATGGAAGTAGATCCCCTCGAATCGAATGCTGCTGCCAAAAATGATCCAAGCTATCAGCATGATCGCATGATGTGCAAATTGGTGGATTCCATTGACTGATACATTGACTATAATACGCGAACTTTTACAGAAATGCAGCAGAGACACTTTGTTAACCTGCATCTGCCTAGGCGTAGATGACATATATATATGTAAATTATTTGCTAATAGAAATACATTTTTAAATTTTATATTGAACGGCTAAAATGCATTTTCAATTATATGCTTTAGAATTGTTATGACATATAATCCATATTAGGATTTCACCATATTAATGGCGTATTTCTGGTTAATCTTTTACTTTTTTATTGTGATTATTATATATTATTTACTTATATGTAATTACTTAAACATTCACTGCTAACTGCTAAGTCACCAAGCAACGTGCTTATCACGCATTTACCAGCCCCCAAATATCATTTAGCTTCTGCTATCTTTGTTGCTACCTTTTCGCTTATCATTACTTCTGGGCTGCCACTGATTAACAGGGTGTTGATGCCCGCTATGATAAAGACTAGAAGATGCCTACACAAGAGATCTGTTTGTTAATGTAAAGTGCTTAACCCATGATTGGCAAAGAATTTTTCCATAATACGAGAATTGGCTATCCGTGTATAGGTTGAACGAACTCATTGCACTTTTAGAGTTTTATATAAAAATATTTCCTATACTTTTGTTACCGTATAACATTTTCTAATTCTCTCAAACCAAGATGGATCATCTAGAAACAATATAAGGTTTTTTTTGAGCGTAGCTTGGAAAATTTCCGACCAATAATAAAGCATAAAAATTATAATAATATAAAAACTACTTAAATATAAATAAAATGATGAGTCGTTGCAGTAATGTTCTGTAATATTTTAGCTTAAGGTTTCCTTAGTATTAAAATATAAATTCTAGACTTGAGTTGATTTGATTGAATCCGGCTTGCAACAATGCATGTATTATTATTAGAGAAATATTATAAGAAAATACGGTTAATTGAATGGATATTCATTCATAATCTTTATGGAAACTCGTGTAAGATGTGTTATCTTCGATAAGAAAGTGTTAATTACCTAGAAATGAATCTTCAATTTTCCTCTACACGATATAATAAAAGCCCTGTGAAATTCCTTACAGTTCACCATTTGCCAACAGTCAGCGCATAGAGCTCGAAGCGCTCGGATGTAGTGAAATAAAAAACATCTGTGATACATTAATATACTATAGTGCATTTGTAACTATTGACCGAGACATTTCAATTGACTTGCAACATAAATTACTTAATTCAAAAAAAATTGCGAATCTCAAATCAATCGAAAGGCATCCGACAGAGCAGTAATATGGGCGAAAAGAATGTGGAAAATGTGAATCATGATAAAGTAAAAGGTAAAAGATTGTGAAAAAAGGTTGATCCATAAAAATTAAAAGGGATTGTTTCTTATAGAAAGACAAGTGCATAAAAATTCTGAGTAAAAATAAAAACAATAATACCCAAGCCGTTATATATATATAATATTATAAAGAAGCCAACTTTTAAATGCTTTAGCTTGACAAAATTAAAATAACAAGACGTTATGTGCTGCTGAATGTGAAAATTGGAAAATATTAAGAACAAAATATAAGAATACAGAATATATATATACAGATATATAAGAATTCAGAAGTGAGCATAGTAAATTAAAATTTAGCACAATAAAAATTACACCATTGAACAATACTTTATAATAACTTTATAATAATATAATCTAATTTTCCATTTTTAATTTATATTATGATAACATTTTATTAAATTGCTGATTTATATAAATTAGGTTTTTTCCAATTTAATGAAATAAGTAAATGATGCTTGTAGAATATATTAAATTATTACAAGTTTTAAATTCTTTTAATGCACAATAAAATATCGCAGAATACTCGTTTGCGGTTACTATTATTGTGTTAATTTTAAGTATAAAAAATTGGTTTATTATTAAAAAAATGGTATTTTTTAAAAATTGGTTGCAAAAATTACTGTTATTATCAAATGAATAAAATTCGGTCATAATAATATAATTTATGAAATTTACCATTGTTATTTCTTAAAAAATTAAAAAATAACTTGATATACTTTTAAATTATTTCGAAATTATTGCCTTAAAAAATTTTGCAGACATCGAAACGGAAAGCGATGGTAACTCGATAAGTACAACGCCGGCAACATCTTGTGGTCCAAATGATGAGCCTGCAGACTTTGATAAGGCCATCACATCCGCAGGCTTTGGCCGCTTCAATCTGATTCTGTTGATTATCGCGATTCCAGCTACCTGTGCAAACATGTTTGAGTCGACGACAATGTCGTATATATTGCCTATAGCCGAGTGCGATCTCCATTTGACGTTGACCGATAAGGGCATATTAAATGCTTGCGCATATGCGGGCATGATCGTTTCAGCCATACCCTGGGGCTATTTGGCCGACACGAAGGGTCGTCGCGTGGTGCTGCTCTATGGGTATTTGTTAACCTCGATTTGTGTATTTGGTAGCGCACTGAGTCAGAATTTCATAATGTTGGTGACGTTCAAGTTTTTTGGTGGTCTCATGTAAGTAAGCCGGCACCATCTTTTTATTTGGTTGGGAGTTTATGTTAGCTAACTGTCGCTATACAGTGTCAACGGCCCTGCAGCGGTGCTCTATTCCTATCTGTCAGAGATGCACGGGCCCAAGCACCGAAGTCACGTTCTGATGATTGTGGGTATGATTGTGAGTGCTGCAACGTTGTTGCTGCCTATACTGGCCTGGCTTACTTTTCCGCAGCCCTGGGATTTTGTACTCTTTGACAGTCTCGACAGTGAGTTGAAGATAAATAAGTGTGCTCTAGTTGGAAGCGCCCTACTCACATATAGACATACAAATAATTTAATCTTCCATTTTCAGTTCACAGCTGGCAAGTCTTTTTGCTGATTTGCGGCGTGCCCAGCTTATTAAGTGGCGTCATTATGTGCGTAATGCCAGAGAGTCCCAGATTTTTAATGGGTCAGGGGCGCAATTCAGAGGCTTTGCTGGTCCTGCAAAAGATCTATCAGATAAATACTGGCCAGCCGAAGGATAACTATCCCGTGGGTGCAATTTCTAACTATAAAAAGAAGTATTTACAGCTCTTCTTTGTGTTTGTATTTGCTAGGTGAAAACGCTTGTTTTGGAAGTACCCGATCGTGTTGCCCAGAAGGACGAGGCTATTTACACAGTGGAGGAGAAGCCCGAGGTCCAAAAAAACAGCTCTTCGCGCAGCCTACTGGAGAGCTTGCGCGCCGGCATGCAACAGATCCAGCCCATGTTTCACAAGCCACTGTTGAGCCTCTCGCTGCGTTGCTATATTATGCAGTTCTGCATGTTTCTGGGCATGAACACCATTCGGCTCTGGCTCCCCCAACTCTTTTCCTCGATGGCCGATTATGAGGCACTGCATCTGAATGATGATGCATCGGCCACCATGTGCACCATACTTGATTTCAGTGTTAATCAAACTGCCGAGACGTTCACGAACTATCAGACTGCATGTGCTGAGGTGAGAGTGTGACAACTTCTTATCACTTATTATCAGCAATATTCTATGGGGGTGCGATTTAAAAATGAGCTTACTTGCTTTTGGTTGTCTGCTAAAATTACTCTATTCAATTAGAGATACAAATAGCATGCACATAATTGTTATGGCTCGGCTTTGATATGAGCTACCTCGTTATCTATCGGATCGTCCAAAGATAACATGCTTATCAAGCTTCATCATTAACGTATTCATTTTGCTGCATCATTCTGACGTTACGCACTCCTCTCTTTTTCTCTTTCTTTCTATATCTTATACAGCCTCAAACTATATCTATAGATATGTATTTTAACAATATCATCGTCTCTGTTTGTGGATTCGGTGGATATTTCTTTGCTGCCGCTATAATGCGTATAGCAGGTGCCAAGCGTCTGTTAAGTAAGTAACATATATTAAACAAATATTTACTTAATAACTTATATTTGTAAATGTATTTCTAAGTTATAATATATTTTTTTTTCTGTACAAGTTTAACAATGAGGTTTTTGAATTAAATGGGCTTACAACTATTGTAATTAAACAATATTTAAAACAAAATAACAGAATTTCTTAAAAATGCTTTTAAGAAAATAAATATGACTTAGTTTAATATTATTTGTATTTCTTTAATACAATTTAAAGATTTTTCAAAATTTTCCTGGTTTAATATTTTTTTTACTTTATTTTTATTTCACTTTTTAATCTTCCGTATAGCATATGGTCTGTTCATCTCCGGATTCCTCGGCATAGGGCTATATTGGTCCGTTAATAGTGTTATGACAATCGCCTTGTCCGCTTCCTATGTCACTGTGGGCGGAATTGCTGTCTCCTCTCTTCTTGGCGCTGTTGTTTCGCTCTTTCCCACGCGACTTCGGTAAGAAATGCCTTCTCTTCCTGTCATCTCTCTGATCGAATATAAATATCTTTATTTCACAAATTTTTGTAGCTCCTTGGTGGTGGCTATTGCCATGATGTGTGGTCGATTGGGCGCCCTCTCTGGCAATCTTCTCTTTCCGCTTTTAATACAGATAGGCTGTGTGCCGCCATTTGCGATGGTCGGATTTGTCATGCTGCGTAAGTTTATTTTGCAAAATTAATTAATTTTTTAATGATATATATATTAAAAAAGAGCCTATCATTTTGTAGTTTTTATTTATATTGTCCAGTATTTGTGGTATATGACAAAAGCAGAACAGCATATATTTCGTACATATTTCATTAAATTTTTTTATTTGCAGTTGCTGCCGTGCTGTCAATTTTCATTCCCAATCCAACAAAAGCGGCTTTCGCCTAACTATTTTTACCAATTGCTTCTTTAAGCTTAGACAATTACATTTGATACTTTGATTGTAGCCTTTAAGCTGTAAAAAATATTGTTTAGAGTATCTTTCTATATATATAATTGTAGTCTTTGAGATTAGTTTGCGCCTTTCTTTGGCACATCTTGTGTTATACGATGTATATATAGAGTAGGAACCAATGAAAAATATTAAATACACATTTTTAAAAGTTATTTTCATTATGTGTTAGTTTTTATATTTATTATCGGGTTTTGTTATATTATTCGTACCGTATATTTATTTTAAAATTATTTATTTATTCAGATATATCACCTATATTATTAAAGATTTCTATATAAGCAAACTAACTCATCTTTTTTTGTATTATTAGGTCAAAAATACCTATATTTAAGTTTATGCTTAAGTTTATAAGCTTTAGCTCTTTATGATTGATTGATTGAATAATAAATGAGTTAAAACTGAAATGCTACGTAGAGATGCGGTTTAATATTTAAAACTGTTCTATGCAGAGGTTCTAAGGTCAGGTCATGCATATACAACTTACATACACGAATTGCGAATACGACGAATTGTCTGCAATCGATTAATTAATTATTAAATTTCGAATAAGCAAAAAGTTTTTAGCAATTTCTGAGTAAATGTTTCCGTTTTTAAGCAACAATAATTAGAAAGAGGAAAGAGGTAACATGAAACGCGACTGACAGTATTTGATTCTGTGACAAAAAATCTGCTCCAATTTAATTTCATCCTAATGAATTTATAGATTTAACAAAACCGGAGGCTTTTTTATTTAGTTCAATAATATAATTTCAATATTATGGGCATTGATAGCAACCAGTTAATGGTTGGTCAGAATAATTCAAAGAGCAAATTGCACGTTAACATATTTTTATAGCGATGCCCAGATTCAATGTCCCATTTTGAGTTTTAAAACTATTTTCATAAAATAAGGTCTTGACTTTTCCAAAAAATATACTCTTTTCTCTTTAAGTACCCTAATGACGGAGGGTATGTACAGTCTAAATATGGATTCATCTTTTTTTATTTTTCTTTTTTCAGGAACCGAAAGCATTAAGTAAGCAATATTTTAGCTCATTTGATTCAGGAGTTCGGAATTGTGCCAGTAAAACTGCATAAATTTAATCATTATCCACTGATATTTGATTTCCTTTAAATATTTAGATTTCTATGTTTGGGTAATTTTATTCATTTCAATATTCAGCTTTCACTAATTTTGTGATGGTTCATAGTGTTTGTGCTTTTTTAAGGGAGTTTCAGATTAAATAAATTATTATATAAAAATCATTTGTTAAGTTTTTAATAGAAGTTAAGGAATTCCCAAAACTTTCTGAGCGTGACACAATAAGTAGAATTCAAGTGGCGTCTGACTTCTCTTTATCTTTAATATTTTTAAAATTTCTATGCATGTTGTCTAATTAGGTCCCACATACAATACTTCAGATAGGACAAAAAAAGAAAACAAAAACAAGAAATGTATTCAATTCGAAGATAAACAGTTTCTCATAGATGAACATAAAGAATAGTATTATAAATCATGTAAAGATATCTTTTATAAATTACAAAAAATACTCTGATATTTTTAAAATATAATGTTCGACGGATACAGCTTTACACTGATCACTTTACAAATCTAGAATGCCTAAAGTTTATGTTCAAAATTAATTGAATTTTATCTGCACTCTATTTTATGGTAGCAGCTGTAATATAGATGGCAAAAGCAGCAGAGCCAGATGAAACGGCAGATTTTGAGAGGGCAATTTCTGAATGTGGCTTCGGTTTATTTAATGTCATCATTTTGATCTGCGCACTCCCCTGCTTAACTGCAATGGTTTTCTCTGCCTCCGTCATATCATATGTGATGCCAACGGCTCAGTGTGACCTAAACCTGAGCGTAATGGACATGGGAATGCTGAATGCAGTGACATACGCAGGTAAGTGATGTTGAATAGATATTAAAACTATATAGGACGACTTCTAACACAGCTGTCTAGGCATGATTTTGTCAGCCATTCCATGGGGCTTTATATCGGACACCATGGGTCGCCGTTCTGTTTTAATCATTGGCGGTTTCGTTGACGGTATTTTTGTGCTCTGCTCGGCCCTAAGTCAAAATTCCATTCAACTGATGATATTTAAATTCTTCGATGGACTAATGTGGGTATCAAACAAATCTATATGATGTACTTATCTAAATAATTTGTACTACTACTCTGCAGAATTTGCGGCCCCTTCGCGGTGGTCGTCAGCTATTTGGCCGAGTTCCATGGCCAGAAACATAGACACTATATAATGTTTTTTGTCGGCCTAATTATTTCTATAGGAGCGGTGACATTACCACTGATAGCCTACCTATTACTTCCACTGCACATTTATTTCAAATTGGGAAACATGAAATGTAGGTGGAGTTCTTATACTCGTTCACGAAAAGAAAAGACTACTTCGATGTTTAAGCAATGCCAGCCGTGCTGTCCGTCCACCTGTCCCTATTAAAGCTAGAAATTGTCAATTGGAATATATCGTGTATAACTCTGTCCGGTAAAATGAAAGATTTTTCGACACTGGGGAGCCTGGCATATCGGGGACTATTATATCTTCTACAAAATATGCAACGCTTTAAAACTATTAAAGGGTTTGGCAAGTGAATTTGCGTGACTTCGTCTGCAGATAAAATTAACTAAAAAAGAGGCAAAAAATTACAAAAACACTGCTACAAAGTTTTACGATTAAGACTACGGGTAGAGGCTTACATTATATGGTCTGATTGTTAAACTTTTTTTGAAATGTGAAAGAGTACTATTACGTCGGTAGCTCCCGACTGTAATGTTGTTTCTTGCGTTGATTACTTTTCCTTTGCAGTTCACACGTGGCAGGTATTTTTCGCTATTTCGGCTATACCGAGTTTTTTGAGTGGACTTTTACACATATTTTTACCCGAGAGTCCAAAGTTTCTTATGGCTCAGGGCTACTATAACAAAGCGTTGAAATCCTTTCAACGCATTTACGCCATCAACAAGCGTAAAAGTCGTGAAAGCTATCCGGTAAGTTGTGTGTAGTTGCTTGATCTTATTCGAATATCGAAAATTTGCTAAACCTTCCAACTGTTAGATCAAAACTCTGATTGACGCCGTGCCAGAGCGAATGGAAGAAGAAACGGTGAAACGAAAGTGCTGGAGAGCAAAATTTATATTTTTTGAAGGACTGAAGCAGTTGAAGCCAATGTGGAGTTGTCCTTATCTGGGAGTAGCCATTCACGTTTATCTGTTGCATTTTTGCCAAATTATGTGGTAAGTAATAATAATGAATTTATAGGTAGTTCCTAACTGCATATATATATACAAATTGGTGTTTATTTGTTAACTTAAGCAAATTTTATTATTTCAATGCCCTTGCGTAGCATTCGAGCTGTAGACTTCGTAGTTTAGCTGTCTTAATCTAAAATAATAAAAAATAAATAATTTTACCTCATAATACATAAAAAAAAACAATTAATGAATATAATAAGTAAAGCCATAAAATATGTTATTAAAAATAATGTATTTTTAATTGTAAATGTAGGACTTATAGTGTAGGATGTAGGATTTATAGTAATATATTATTACCAATTGATTCTGTTACAATTGCAATTGTAAGCCTTTCTTTTAAATTTTAATTTAATTAATATATTAAATTTATTATAAAAATAGTTGTCATCACAAAAGAGAAAAGATATTTTCACTTATTACACCTTAAAGTATACTAAGCTTTTAAGCTTATATTAATTAATATGCACTTTGACAATTGCAGTGTAAACTCGGTTCGTTTGTGGATGCCAAATATCTTTGCAACGATACACACCTTAGAGGTAAAAGGATATTCAGATCGGAGCATGTGCGCAGTTCTAAAGCACGATACGCAATTAAACTTCACAAAAGAGGAAAAAAATCAGGAATGCGACATAGTAGGTAGGCGATCTATTATACCCAAAACTTCCAGCATTAAAATAATGAACCCAATCGTGCAGCATCATGAACCGGAAACCTATTCTGATAATATCATTGTTGCCGCCATTGGCCTTATTGGCTATTTGGTTATATTTCCTCTGCTGAGTATTCAAGTAATCGCTAGCCACTTGCTGAGTAAGTTTTGCCACATTTCAATATAAAATTGATATTCTGATTTGTTTCACTCTTTCACGAAGTGAAAGGAGTGTATTGGTGTTGTGTAATTGTATAAAAACGTTTTACTTATATTGAAGCCGGAGATTTGAGCTCATTTTAATCAATACAACACAATCACAATACCTTCTGTAAAGTATACGCTATTTTTAAATGCCGAATATTTCGCCGAAAAGTGTATATTTAACAGCTCTGAAGCTAAAGTATCAAATTGTTACAAATACTTTACCTTGAGGTTCATGAAAAATAATTACAATAAATATATATGTGTAAATAAATATAGATAAACTCGCCTTCGGTGTTACAGCTTTACAGCGCTATAATTCGATAAAAACGTTACTGTTGACCTTTAGTTCTAAATTCTCTATGGACTGTGAGAAACTACGAAGTGCGTTGAAAATATGTTAATTCATATATTTATTTATGACTATATACATATTAATAAATTATTTTACTCTGTTCATGAGCCATTGCAAACACAATATAATATAATAAAATTACCTAATGAATATATATATTTGGAGGTTCTCCTTCATTCACAAAAAATATATTAGGAATTATTTTGGGAATTGATATGAACGCAAAACAGGATGTAACATTTAGCTAAACGGATTGTCGATAATTACTAGATTTTTCATTGCAGGAGTGCTAGATTGTAGTTTTGTGGATGGTTTTCGGTATCCGCTAGCTGTTCACTTCTGGCTAAAGCAATCTTACTTGTTTTGTTTCAGAGATCAGCCTGCTTATAAGTACATTCCTCGTGGGTGGACTGTACTTTACAAATTCCAGCCTATCGATGCTTCTTGTCTCTGCATTCTATTTAACGGTCATGGGAATCTGTGCGTCGACTGTTATAAGTATGACCGTGGTCTATTTTCCTACTTTGATGAGGTGTGTATGTCAAAGGTTGTAGCAATTAATTAATTTCAACTTTATTCTATTATTGGTTCGACTTTGATAAAATTGATACTAAGGGAGGTGCTATTTTTATTTTCACAGCAGCTTAAACATACATAAATATTTATATATATTTTCTTTGCTCTTTACAGAACAATGGTTTTATTATTGATTATGACATTTGGCCGTTTGGGTTCGGTTGCCGGCAACATGTTACTACCGCTTTTTATAAAGATCAACTGTTGGGCACCGTTTCTGTGGCTATTTTCCCTAATGATGCGTAAGTATTAAATTTCTTTTATCACATAAATTTACTAATGTTCTTTAATTTTGTATTTATTTATTTGTAGTTGCATTTTTAATGTCACTGTTCCTCAAAGTTAATATCAAGCAGGCACTTAATTAAATATAATAAATAGTAATAATCATTTATTGCAAGACAAGTCGTTAGACAACTATAGAAGGCATATAAATTGAAATTCAGCATACTTCTCTATTATGCCAATCTATTTTGATGTGCCGACTTATAACGATCTAACGAGTGTACAAGCCATCATTATTATTATTTATTAAAAACTGTGTAGAGCGAAGAATAATCAACAAACAAACAACTACCTATTTGGAGAACACATTTTAGAGCTAAATTAAATATTTAAATTGAAATAAATTGTAGTTTTCCTTATAACAACTGCAGAATATATTTATTTTTATTTGCTTTATTCTTGTACTATTATCTATTAATCAAGTCGACTGACTGAGTGTGCTGTGCGGCTCTTGCTACCTAATTACATTTTGATCACGACGGCAAAGTAAAGGCTGATTAATTTGGACTTCGCGTTTGAGTTGCACCAAAATCCACGACCAACTCGAAGCCCCACTCAAAATCTGACCACAAGCATAAGCAGCTGTCACATGCTAATTATATTTGTTGTAGTTCACAAATTCAATGGAGTATATAGACTATACGGAGCGCTTTTTTGAACTATACGTCTGTCTGCCTCGGCGGGTATTTTATCCTAATTTTGTAATATAAAATATCTTTAATTGTTGCAAAGCTAAAGCTGCAAGTGATGCAAGTGGATAACTGATTAACTTCCTTTACATATAAGCTGATAATTTATTTGAACAAGTATTATCCAGTCAGTTGCAACCGACTGCAATTTTCTTACTCATTTCCATTTGTCATCAATTAATTAGCGCATGCCAAAATGAATTCCGGTTTCGCTTGAATAACTGAAAAAGTTATGTTATATTAATATAAAATATATGTTTAATAAAAAAGAGGGGAAAGAGAAGGTCTTTGTCGCTTGTTAGAATTTTTGTCGTTGTGGTTGGATGGTAAAATGTGTCCGGTTATAGTAAAGTCTCTATTAATGAACAGTTTCATTAAATGGAAATTTATTAAAGTTATTGGTTTAATAAATTTATCCAAGAAGAGGTAAGGTAATTTGGGAGCGAGGTGGAGATAACTAACGTCGTTTGAAAAGGAAGAGTTCCACCACAGATAAACAGTACGAAAAAAGCGTTCAGCCATCAGCTCTTTTTTAACCGTCTCATCTCAAATAATAATGGATACTAGTCTTATTTGTTTACTTTGATAGTTAATTATTGTTTGTAATCTATTTGTTTTAAAAGCACTTTTGTTTTTAACAAATTTCTTTACTGGATAAGTATCTCTGTCTCTAACTTAGTTTTTCTTTTTGTTCTTTGGTTTCCAGATTGCGTTGCAATCAAAGTTGAGTTCATGCGAGCTAAAAAGTTTTGTATGAACTGTGGTTGATTAGGCTGAGGCTGTGACCAAAGGTTGAATAGGAATGGAAGATGGACTTTATCGATTGCAGTTTTTCTCAATTGTTTTAGAATGTATGTGGAATCGTGTAGTTTACAGTAGACAAAAAAAGATATGAAATTACTTTCCAAAGTGCAAATGCTGATACTGGTTTAGTACTATGTTAATACCCTGTGTTATTAACGCATATTAAAATTGGGCTTAACATTTACTTTATTCAACATGGCAAAACGTAAATTATGATTTATTAAGCTGCCAAAAATGTGATTGGTAAACGTGTAAATATTTGGCGGAATTTTAACACCAAACACGTAGGGTGTGCGAAGGCGTGAGTGTGCGTGTGTCGGCTGTAACATTCAGTTGGTCCCCGGACTTCACTATATAAAACGAAAACAACAAACGTGCATAAATTTTACATAATAAACATGTTGGAAACAACATGAATATAAACAAGAGTGCAAATATGTTAGGGGCGGGATCTGATGAGTGTGTCTGTCTGGATGTTTGCATGTCTGTATCATAGGCAGCTCGCAGTAAATGTATGCCATAAACTATACGTAACAGAAACACAACAACAAGAATGCATATGCCTGCGTATTTATAAGCTAGCTGAATACACACATACATACATATGTGTATCCACGATGCATAAATGTCGAGATGGGCAGTCGTAATCTGAAATGCGCAAATACATGTATGCCACTCACATTTACAAAGAGACACAAACACATAAACAGTTAGATAGACGGACAGTGAAATAGACTCAAACATTTGTAGACTTGAACCATCACAAATACAAATACAAAACAAGTCAAAAACAAACAAGACACTTGTACATCCCACACATTTCGTAGTATAGCCTACGACCCACTGTCCTTGTCCATGTCCTCTATAATGATTTACAGGTCATTCATCATATCAACACGCAGCATGAGAAATTTATTTGCCGCAGCCGCAGCCTAAACAACATCGAAGCCGAGGGCAATAAGTGCACACACCAATAGCAACAACAGCAACATTGATGCTAGTAAATTAGAGAGCACAAGGAACATTGGCGCTTTACTTAATTCGCTCTCGCACTCTCCATTTCTCGGTCTCTCTCTCTGTCTGGAATAAAATGTTGCTAAGTGTTTAGCAACATGCTGACAAGCATTTATTACTGACTTCTCTCAACAGGTTGTGCTTTAATGTTGCTATGCATGTGTTGCAGATGTTGATGTTGCGTTGCTCATAGCTACGCAGTTTTGGCAATCGCGGCAGACATTTTGTAACCACAATGTAGAACGGACCAGTCGTCGGCAACACTCGTGATACTAGAGTTCACTCGCATGCTCGACCTCTTCTAATTGTATTTTGTTCGGCAATTGTACTTAAAGGAATGTACGTTCGTTGGTGTTGCTGTACTAAAAATTTGCAGTGAACGAAACAAAAGATTTGAATAACAAAATTATAGCAAAAATATATTAATGAAAAAAAATTAATTAATCCAATTCAGTGTATTTTATTGTAACGGGCTTAAATAAGGACCACTAAATAAACAAAAATACACACTGCTATTTTTAATAAGCCACATTATAGTAATTCAAGTTAAACTTAAAATTATCTAATAGTCGTTTTTTTAAGTAATACTTTAAAAATTACATAAAAATAAATCATTATATTAAAATTTAAATAGTGGTTTGTGTGTTTAATTCGAACAATATGATGCTAATTCATTGTTTTTCTATATCCTATAAAAATATAATAAAAAATATAAATTAAAATAAATAAAATATAAAAATTAATTAAAGTAACAGCAAAAAGAAAAAATATTATAAATATTAAAACAAAAATATATACTTTAAATTAAAATAACATAATCACAAATTTTAATAACGAAGGCTGTGTATGCGGAATATTTAATAATTGATTGAATTTGAGAAATTGACAGTTAGTGCAATGCGTCGCAGTGGCCCCAATATATTTCGGTTCATCCTACGCAATTCTTCGTCTACCACGCCCAGGTAATGGGTAGGTTTAAATATTCATAAAAGCCGATTAAACTTGCGCCCCCAAAGACTTCAACGGCAAGCGCAGGAGTTGAGCATAAAGCGGATAATTAAGCCCCGTAAATTGGCATGTGCATCTCTTGCTTCGACTTCTGAAACTCCTGCTGCTGCTGTTACTCAAGACCTCTTACCTACGCCGCTGGTCACATATGGCAGTGCAGTGAAATAAATTGACGCAACCAACGATTAACGTTTCTCCCCTCTTTGAACGCCCTTCTCCGCTTGTAAACAAAAAATAATGTCGGAAATTGTGGATACGGAACTCCTAGTGAATTGCACAATTCTCGCTGTGCGTCGCTTCGAGCTAAACAGTATTGTGAACACAACGCTGTTGAATAGCCTTAACCGCACTGAGGTAGTCAGCCTTCTATCCGGCATCATCGAAAATCGAGATAATCTCGATAGCATCAACGAGGCAAAGTAAGTTTTGAATGGCGACGACAATATCCAAACTACATACACGCTAACATAATGACTACCTTCATGCCAAATTTCGTTAATTTTAAGTTAAATCTTAATTTAAATTATGCACTTTCAAATTACGTTCAGTTTGATTTAATGAATCTTTGTTTACATTGACCAAAGATGAAACTACAATTTCAATTGATTTGTGAGCAATTTGAACCTCCTTTAAATATCAACATAGAATGTTTTTTAATTGAGTTTCAAGAAATTGCTACAAGAAATCAGTTGAGTGACTGTTAAGAAGAAACAAATTTGTCATATAAGAAAAAGTAAACAGTTTATCAGTTTTGAAGCTATAAACTTGAAGTAAATACCCGTGTATAGGACACGTAGATAAAAACATTAAGATTCAATATACCATTGTGGGCGTAGTCATATCATAGATTTATAGCTAAAAATACGAAGGGTTGTTATATATAAAAATGGTTTGTATATAAATATTATATCTTTCAAATTCCATCTTGGATTAACAGAAATTATATATTTGCCTCATTGCGGCGTGGCAAACTGTGCCGTCTTTTAATTTTTTATAAATGGCATTAAAAGTAATGTTCACGACTTAAGTTAATAATTGCTAAATGGAAATATTGCATAAAAATGTATTTATATTCAGAAAGTTGACTAGAAGATCCTTTTTAAAAATTTTGTTAAAATCTAAATTTGTATTTTAGCTTATTGTCAGCACTTAGTAATTAGGTTAATTGAAAATAAATGGACGGAATTGGAGGATAAGAAGTGTAAGCAACTTTTCTTAAGAATAGTCAAATAAAAACGTATTTGAAGTATAATGAAGAAGTTGAATTTCAATTGATGGGTTATAAAAGAGAAATAATAGATGTGAACATCGCTAAAGTCCCCATCGACTTGAAATTTTTTCCGTCTTGTGTTATAAGAATATATAAAAATCATTCAATCAAATCAAACCACAATATGAAATATGAAATAAAACCAATACTGGAGCGCCCAAAAAGAATTTTTAGTTTGACAAATAAAGAGTTTTATTCTTTAATAAAAGACAGAGTACAAAATCAAAAGTATACATACGTAAACAATGATTAAGCTCATAAATAAGAAGCAAACTTTTTTGAGGGGCACTAAAGACGACAGAAATCTCAGTGAAAAGAGCCCGCGGCATGTGTGCCATATTTTTCTGAAATATTTAAAAAATTCATCAACTTCTATGATCACCAGAATGTGAAAATTGCACACAAAAAGGGCAACATTTTAAAAGAGTTTTTCAATCAAATTAATTGCAAACAAAATCCGGGAAAGAAACAACGTATTATATAAAATAGTCTGTGATTGACATGCAAATAAAAAATGTGATAAAATACATAAAGGAGCGACGCAGAAGAACACAATACAATTCTGACTACAAATTATAGCAGCAGTCAACAATTCAGAAAACATCAATTGTATCATATATCATTTTATTTTTGTTTTGTTTTTATTTTTTTGGCGGACATCGAGCCAACAAACCAACCAAATAATTCTGAAATTATTAATATAATTTTTTTAAGCGTAAATAATTGATACATATAAGCTCTTCTCGAATAATAACAGTCGTTTCACATAAATATATTTTGTCGGCTGTTCAGCCATCGACTCCTTTCTATCGCTGTTTTTAATTAATTTATCTAATGAAATATTTAAATAAATTTAAAATGGTAAGGGTAAATTAATGTTAATTACCATTTCGTAAATAGTTCGAGTAAAGAGCAATTTGCAACATATTTCAACTGCGCGATTCACAGATTTTTAATATCATTTATCTAAGGCAATTATGCGCAGGCCAACCAACGTTTATAAAAATTAAAATTGTGTGGTTTGTTTAATTGCCAAATATTTATAAATAAACCAGATTTCCCCAAAATTCTATAAATTTCTGCTTTTTGTGAGATTTTATTTCCCTAAAAACATAATTAAGTGTGTTAAATTCTAGAGAAATTAAATATTTCGAATTGCTGCTTTCATTCGCTTCCTGTTACCAAGAATTTTAAGTCTACATCGATGTCTAATTCTTGGACGGACAGAAAATAATTTATGGATTTCAGATGTTTCAGTTACTTTTGGATTGTTCTTCAAATTATAAACATGAACGTGCAATTACAGTTACAATTAAAGTTGCAAAAGGCATGAGAAATGGTTAGCATATAAAGAACAAGACTTTTTAAAATATCTTTCAAAATGTTTGGTATCTAAAGAAATTGCCTTGAGCCACATGTTATTTAATTTAGCTGAAAATCTTGTACAATTGAAAAAATACTGCAAGAAATGGACAGATTTTCGTCGAAAGCAAACGAAATCAAACATGTGCAAACAAAATGACATAAGAGTCTGTGATATCAGCTAGAAAGTAGTGCAAATACAAGTAGTGACTATCCGACTGAGAAGAAACTGAGAAAAGTGCCAGATAAACATGTACAAATGTTGACAGAAACATGGAGGACTACTACTCTAGTCAGGAGCATTCGGCAAGCATATACCTTGAACCTTGGTTGTCTACATAACAAATAAGAGTTTGAGCTTTTATTAATTTTCGCTGAGAAAAATATTTGAAGCTTATCTCCGAAATCAAAAAGTTAACTTGAGAACCCCAATTTGATTTTGTCAGGATTCGACTAGAGTCTCCATAACCAAAAACTATTTCTATCATTGTCTTATTTTACACAATTCAAACTTAATTCATTCGCAATTCGAATTGTATTCTTTTGTACTGAATGTATGTAAGTAAAGGAAACGGGCTCAGAGTATAAAAAGGATTGTATCTCCTGGAAATATAGATAACAGCAAAAAATCAGAAAGACATGACCAGACAACATGACCAGACATTTATGTATACAAATTTTTGTGTGTTTTAGAAACTCGCTTGAAACTTTTCTAACTTTGTAAATAACAATTTTCGGCTTTGAAGTATCGTTGGTAACTTTTTATACCACAGTAAATAATTTAATTTCTCAAGTGTTCGAGATATGTTCAAATACCTAAGTTCGGTATACACATATGTGAATCGAATTCGTTGAAATTGAATAAATGATCTACGATTGCTATAGGATCTCGACTACAGTAGGACATACAGCTGGACAGGTATACAGGTATCGGCTGTTAATATGTTGTAATATATACAAATTAATTTTAGATTATTTTGGGTAAACAAAAGATATATGTGAAGACATTTTTCATAGATATTGTCTCTATTAATTTAGCCCCGTTAATGTATGGAAATTATCAATTTCTCAGTTCATATAATAAATGTTACACTCCGCTCGTTAAATCTTTCCGAAGTTCTCCTAACAAAAAAACTTTTGAGAAATTCTTTTTTTTTGTTTTGTAGCAATTAAACACTTTCAATGGTTCAATAAAAATATCAGGAAGCACGTTTTGTAAAACTTTTTCGATTATGCCGCTTTTGTATGCTGTGGGCAAACACCGAAATTTACAAGCTTGAATGTCTTGCTTGGGTTGCTAGACTAGCAAATACTCATTGCTTTTCCTATGATAAAAAAGGATGCATATTTTGAATTCTATATTTTATATTGCATTAAACGGACTTAATATATACTCTGTAAATAAAATGTTTTTAACGTATTGTCATCTGTTCTATCTATCTATCTGTTACATACATGCACAGAAATCAGGCATGCTTTAAGCTGAAAGTTTCTGTACAAATTGTAAATTTATTTGCAATGTAAATCAAGTGCGATAATTCAATTAAGCTTAAGTGAATGCAAATCAAATAATAATAATCAGTGAAATCAAATTTCAATTTAAGGTAATATCATTTACACATAAATATTTATATATAGAATAGCAATTTGAAATATTTTTTGTCGAACAATTATAGTGCTTACAAATTTATATCAAAACTCGCCTATTTAAGGGAACATTTCTTTTTAAGTAATGACTTTGATCTGCTCAAAGCTTAAATGCTTTAAACCTTTAATCTTATATGTTACTCTCTACATCAACAATCTTAATGCTGCACACCATTACATTTTACCAATATACCCTACTTTCGTATTTTCAGTGGGCTGAGGGATAACAAAAAATTAACTTTTCCAAGGCTTAAGTCTCATGATGTCAACACACACCATGGTCCCATTGAGACGTTATTTCCTCGTTAGCAAACTATCATTAAGTAAAACCTGGACGAAAGACTAATTAAAAGTCGGAAAAGTATTTTTCTCAATGCAGGAACTGCCTTGAATAACATTTAATGCAACTTGTAAGCTAGTTGTAATGGATATGATATTGAGTTGTTCTGCTATAAATTTTAGCTGCTAATTACTTTGTAAGATATATCCCTTATACCTCACTACTGGCTCATATATATATATATATATATATATATATATATATATATATATATATATATATATGTAAATATACATACATATGTATGATATAGAGAGTTGTCACAAAATTAAGGTATACCAAACAAAGGTGCACGCAACTCAGAGTGAAGATAAGCTGCGGATTTACATTCGTTTCGTTGCGAAAATTTGCAAATTGCTTTTGAGTTGACACACAACAGGAGAGAACTGTGCTACGAGCAATAATTGAATTCAGTACGAAAATCTATCCAACTAATCCCCAGCACAACTTTCACAAACAGACCAGTTAACAACAGCTAAAATATGTTCGGGGCAAAACTTTCATCAGTATACATGCAGTTAGCCTAAAAAAGAAGTAAGAAGGCTCTAGTCGGGAGTGTCCGACTAGGGGATATTCTCAATTGCGGTCAATCTGGGTCATCAAATATACTAATTTGTATTAATGGATAAATTCAGCAAAGCATATGCCCCTAATCATATAAGAGTGTAAAATTATAATAATTTTCAACTACAACTACACGTGGTTCTACGTAAACTACGCAAAGCGTTTCAAGTGTCTAATTCTTATAGAATCCGAAATCGATGCTTTAATAAAAATATACAGGCAGAGCGAATGAGCGG